AACAATACAGACAGTCAGGTCAACAATACAGACAGTCAGGTCAACAATACAGACAGTCAGGTCAACAATACAGACAGTCAGGTCAACAATACAGACAGTCAGGTCAACAATCAACAATAACAGACAGTCAGTCAGGTCAACAATATAGACAGCAAGGTCAACAATACATACAATCATGTGAAAAATACAGACAGTCAGGTCAACAATACAGAGAGTCAGGTCAACAATACAGAGAGTCAGGTCAACTATACAGACAGTCAGGTCAACAATACAGACAGTCAGGTCAACAATATAGACAGTCAGGTCAACAATACAGACAGTCAGGTCAACAATACAGACAGTCAGGTCAACAATATAGACAGCAAGGTCAACAATACATACAATCATGTGAAAAATACAGACAGTCAGGTCAACAATACAGACAGTCAGGTCAACAATACAGACAGTCAGGTCAACAATACAGACAGTAAGGTCAACAATACAGACAGCCAGGTCAACAATACAGACAGTCAGGTCATCAATACATACAGTCATGTGAACAATACATAGAGAGAGGTGAACAATGCAGACAGTCATGTGCACCCGACCTAACCACACACCACCACCATCACCCAATACACCCCAACCCCACCACACACACCCACTACCACCCAATACACACCAGCCCAACCACAAACCCACTACCACCCAATACACACCAGCCCAACCACACACCCCTGCCATCCAATACACACCAGCCTAACCACACACCCACTACCACCCAATACACACCAGCCCAACCACACGCCCCTACAACCCAATATACACCAGCCCAACGACACACACCCACCCAATACAGACCAACCCTACCACTCACCAACATCCCTACCCAATACACACCAGCCCTACCACACACCAGCACCACCACCCAATACACACCAACCCAACCACACACCACCACCACCCAATACACACCAACCCAACCACACACTCCCACCACCACCCAATACACACCAACCCAATACACACCAAACCACCCACACCACCCAATACACACCAACCCAACCACACACCACCACCACCCAATACACACCAGCCCAACCACACAACCACCACCACCCAATACACACCAGCCCAACCACACACACCCACCACCACCCAATACACACCAACCCAACCACACACCCACCACCACCCAATACACACCAACCCAACCACACACCACCACCACCCAGTACACACCAACCCTATCACACACCCACCCGACACACACCGAACCCATAGCACCCATACACCCTACGTTGGTAAGCATGTAATTATATTGTGTTCATATACAGTTAATAAATATCAAGTCATTAAGCAGAAGGATTCCCATACAACTGAGTACATTCCTTGACACGACTTCTGTGATCCCAAGACAACATAAAATGAATGTTAAAACTGACCTTTACATCACAGGGGCGTTCCAAGATACTGTTTTCAATACAAGTCTTTGTATCACAATTCATTTGTTGATTGTTGAATCCTGAACTATAGAAATCAGTGATTGATATTATGAGCCAAGTCAATGTCCGCAGACTACATTTACATGCAAGTGAATGAGTGAGTTTAGTTCAGCAATATTCCAGCAATATCACCAGCAATATCACACATTGTACCCATGTAGGGAATCGAACCCGGGTCATCGGTGCGACGGGCGAACGCTCCTTCCACTAGGCTAGCCTACCACCACCCAATTTACATGCAATCAACCAAGCCCCCGACTCTAACTCGTCTATCTGTACCGCCACCACTCATACACAGCTTGGTCATTTGAGACCATTTGTAACCCGAAATCTCTGTACGGCCATTGTTAATATTTGGAAATACAAAGATTATTAGATTTTACGTGCCCTTTAATCGTTTAGAATTGCACAAAAAAGTATGTGATGAGTAAATAAATGTTCACACATGGTCTTGCCCAGGATGTTCACAATCGTCAAACGCTGGACGGCAGTGTGAGACATGCCCTTCCTCGGGGACACTTGCTCAGGGATGTCGTCTGCCCGCTACTTGGTAGTTGCTCGATCACTGATAAACAACCATCGCAAGATAGATTGTCACAGTCACAATCGTGCGACCTTAACAAGATAGAAATCTGGAGAACACGCTGTACTAGGTTTTCACCAAGATTATTTCAGAGAATGTTCTACATGTACGTGCAAATGGGATCGTTATGACATTGCCCCACGACATCCGGGTACACTGGACAGCTATGAAGCAAGAATACAAGACTGCTGACGTTTTTATATAATTCCAAAAAATATCTGTCGTGGGTACAGTTTTTAGAAAATATAACCCTTGAAATATCTGACTAATTGTAATTGCATAGATGATTTCGTCGGTATTTGTCTGAAACAGTTCTGGTGCCATGTTAGAGTTTAACTCACTCACTCACCCACATATTGTAGGTGGATGCTCAAGACTTGCACACACATCATAGAGTAGACATCTAACACAAGTGTCACTTTCCTTGGCAATTTGCCATCTGCGCTATCGGATCTCGTTCAGTATGACTATACTGCACTGCACGATGCATATATGTAACATATGCAGTCAAGTCGGCATTATAATGGTTTATGCTTTCAAACCATGCTTTACCTCTCATCGTGTCGTTTAGGACAACATTCAAAGCACGTGTCATTTATGAAGTAAGGTTTAACCCTATGTGTAGAATAAAGAAAAGGGTTTTGACCTGAATTCTCATAGTTCACAATTACACTTTATTACAACTTGAATACAGATTGAGGTTAAGCAGAATTTCACTTTTCTAAGATGTCATATCTATGACTCACCTTGTTAGGATATTTTGTTATTGGAGATAGCCATTAAATCAAATCTGTATTAAGTGGTGCCATGAAGTGAACATCCTCGGCTAACTGACGAGCCGCCGTCTTCCTGCCTGCACCCTTACGTTGAGAGACAAAGTAGCTTTTATATACATAACATTCCATTGCATAGTCTATGGGTAGCTAAGGCACATTATATTACCTCAATGTTGTGTAAGTATCAATAGCCTCATTAAGCAATAAATAGCATTTAAATCTAGGTTTTCATATCAATATAATCATTTCACTCCAACTTGGCCATTGTGAGACGTAAGATGGTTCCCGGCTCCTAGTCTGTCTCACAGTCCCTGAACCACATTAATTTCCCAACTGCCAAGCCCTCTCTGCAGTGCTAAAGCCCTAAATAAAGCAACTCTAGATTACCTCAGGTTCTGAATCTCTGGTCTCCCTAGGGCTCCTTTTCAATTTAAATGGGCTTGTTTGTTACTATCAAAATTATATATATTCAGAGACTAAGCCTTAGTCTACCCGGCTCCATGTGCGCGTCGTTAAGTATATTGGGATGTGAGGGAAGGGGCCCAGCCTATTTCGATAGCGGGCTAACTAGCCGAAGTAGAGCTGATTATTGTCAGTTGAGGTGTTTTCTTTGGCTACGCCACTTTCAGCTCTAATGTTAGCAGACAGCATGTAATGGTGTTCTTCCTGTAAATACAGGTTTCTACGTCACTTCCACACCAACTTGTAATGGTGTGCTCCATAAGTTGGTTGCTGTAAATGGTACAGTAAAACGCACTCGACTGAACTGCCTGTGAGGTTATACGACGTCGCGACCAACATGAGACGAACATGGCGCTGGGAAAGCAACACTGGTCGTTGTATGACTGCAGTATGCTTCTAAATGCCGAACACTGAGCAAATGGTATGTGTGGTAGTAGACCCATCAAGGTCCATGCTTGTCGACAAGGGGCAACTTTCAGGAACTGGCAGTCGGGTTCGATGACGTTGATGCATGTATTTGTATTCCAGTGTCACTGATCGATGTTCATGATATCGATCACTGGATTGCCTTGTCCTAACCCGATTGTTTATAGACCACTGTCATGACATCACTGAATGCAGTGTGAGACAACAACGAGACAATGTAAACAACGGGAAATATTGCAAAACAAAAGCATGTCCTCTGAAACTTGTAAAAGAATCCTGATTTTTGTCCCCAGAGAATACAGAGAATTGTGTGGCTGTTGTGGTTTGAATAAGTTGCAACATGATTGATATTTTGTTTGAAGTATTTTCTTCCCAGGTTATAAAATACAATAATACAACTAAAACTCTCTAAACAGTAATTGATCTGGTGTTTGTTCGTTTGTGAGGTGAGGTGAGGTGAAATTGGGTTTAACGTCGTGCTTGAGAATATTTCGCTCATATGACGACGTGCATGCGTGTGTATGTGTATGTGCGGCTGCTTGTACTAGCCCAGACTGAAGCTGGTTTTATAGTGTTAGCTCACTGAGATACCATGCCACAGTGAAGCATGAATACCCCACTTAGACACATTATACTGACCCCGAGCCGACAAGTCCTTGTTGTACCCATTAATGCCGAGCGCCAGGCTTGTTCGTTTGTCGGGGCTGTGGGTGGAGTATATTGAACAGCACTAGGTTCATTACGTCAACCCATGCGTGTGGGAAGAGGTGGGGTGTGCTGCATGTGAAGGACGGATGGTGAGGCCGAAAGCTCTGATTGAGTCGTGTCATCGTGACCCCACGACGCTGGCCGTTGCAGATGTCTTCACTCACTCACTTATTAACAGACAGAAGATAAATAGCTAGCATGACATTGCTTTTATGTGTCCATACATAAGTATAATTCGTATACTTCGAAAATATACTGCCCGTGTCTAGCCTGGTCTGGGGTTGGCGGTGAACATCGACGTTGAGCAGCAATTACCCTGTTGGGGAGGGTGACGCATTTGCTGTGACGAGTCGCCTCCCTTAATTCATCGTTCTACCAAATCAGCTGTTTATCACCAAAATGTTAATTCCGCCAGAGATAACGTCTTCGTGTGTGTTTCGGTTCCATATAATGCTATAATGTAGGGATATTTAATTTATGTTTAAACTCAAATACTCTTAATCTGATACACGAAACTTTAGATAAAGAAAGCACTCAAAATGAAGATAAAATATAGTCGAAGAGTTTATTCTGATTGTTACAGGTTCAAACATGTCATGATTCATATATATTAACACGTCCCCATCATGACAACAATAAATTACAACATACAAAATAAGGCAAGAAAATAAATCAGACAAGATAATCATCTCAGGATTATGGGCTGAACACCTGGATACCAACAATTCCAGGTATATCAACAACAACATTCCAGCTATATGACCGGGGTCTGAAAGTACTCTAGTCTGGACAAGAGGATCCAGTCATTGACATCATGAGCGTGAATCGACGCAAATGGGACTATGTCATGCATCAGTTAAGTCAGCGAGCCCCGCTGACTGGTCCCGTTAATCGTCTCTCACCCAAGCATTGTTTTGTTTAAGAATAATACTAACCAGGATCCTCACGGGTTTCTTTAGTCAATGAAACGTGCCCATCAAATCAGGCCATGTTCACATTGTCTTGCTTCTCAGGCGCCGTAATGTTTGTGGATGAAGTAAACACTGGCCTTGACTTGCTTCTGATGATGACGAGGACTATCTTGGCAATTAGGGCTAACACGGCTAGCACTATGAGTACAATGGTGAAGATGGAATTTCCACGAGCAGCGTCATAGTTTTTGTCTAGACTGCCAGACAGAGCCCATATGACGACGCAATAGGGAGTGATGGTGTACCGGCTGTATTTGTCGAATAGGAAGAGGTCGGTGAGGACGAAGAGAAGCAAAGCGGTGGTGATAAAGCCGAGAGAGATTGAGGAAGCAGTGCTCTGGTCAATAGGAGGGTTAGCTCTGTAGGCAATCACAAAGCCCATGTTGAGGAAGGTAGCAGTGGTGGTCCACGCCGCATACATACCAAGCCCGTTGTGGACAAATACACGCATCAACGTATCTTCAATCTTCAGATTCAGTTTAGCAAGAACCTCCATGTTATCATTCAATGTTTTGTAGGAGATATACAAGCAGATGTACAGGGTGAACGCAATGGCGAACAGGAAGCTGAAGGACAGTTCGATGAGTTGGCGGTCAAAAAGAAGGAGCCAGCTGATGTTGAGGAACATGTTCAGGATGTACATTCCGAAGAAGGCCGGAGTAAGAAGAATGGGGTTGAGGTATAGGGGTCCTTCTTGGGTCTTCCTGCAAATACGGACCAAGGAGTAGATGATCCAGGCGGCCTGCCACGCATAGATCAGGCCCCAGATGCTGAAGGTCCAGCCGGCGGGGGTGATCTCCACGTAGAATGCGTCCGAGATGTCCCCGGTGGAATTCAGGAAGATACCTACGACAAACACAATGTGAAATGTAATACCACAGTTTAATTAATCACTGTGGTATTACATTTCGAACAAAATCACATTACATTACGTAAAAGGGTTATTATGACGTATTTTTAAAGTTTGTGGTGCTGTATTCTAAAGGTAGGCAAACACAATGTGAAATACAATTACATTAGTTATTCAATAGTCACAGAAGCGGACATAGTGTTACCAATGTTACCCTCGTCGAATCATTGTAAGTATAAAATCGTAAATAACGTTTAATCAAAAGATAAAAAAACAACACTCTTAACAAATTTTCAAATGCATATATTTCATATGCAAGTGCCTAAAATTCAAAACTGTAACCACAAAAGACAGTAAGAACTTTCAACAGTCCAACTCGAACTGGCCATTACCGTCTTCGATCTGTCACAAACCCGGCATGCCTTGCGCCCAAGCTCGCCCCTGACTTACCTAAGCTGGTATCTGCCGCCAATCCGTTGAAGATGGCGGTGAGTATGAAGGCGAGCAGAGCCCCCACATTGAGGGCCTGCAACAACATTGGCGGGGGCGACTTCATCATGAGCGATCGCAACCAAACCTGAAACCAAACACCTACAGGTTATTAATTGACTTAGCGAATGATTTGCGTTAACCCCTGGATGCCGAATTCTTTTTCAGGCGCACATTTTCATACTGTTTGAAAAGTGAACGTTGTGCGAGAATTACGCTCGCGTGGTCCTGGATCTACGTACGGCTATAAAATTACACAGAAATGTAGAATATTAAATTCTCCGCTTTTTTTGCGCACCGATAAAAGCACTGTGCTACGAATTTTTTAATTTGGCATCTTTACGGAAAGTGTGAGCGAAGAAAATGCAGCCTGATATCTGAACGACATAAGTGTATATGAATTGGGTTTATTTGCTCATACATAACGTTATACGCTCAACATTAAAAATGACTTGGAATACATGTCAAAAATGGATTTTCTTCTATGACGTCAAACGACGACAGAGAGGTCATACACCACTCTCCTACCCAGAGTTCCATGCGGCAAGCCAGCATAGTACCTCTGCCACAGGCCAGAAAAATGTGACGATTCGTCACATCTTGCACCGTCCATTCAATATAATGTACAGATTTCTTTTACTCTTTTATTTTTGACAAGTCTACATATCTAACTAAACATCTTTAATAGAATGGTTTAGTTTCACTGAGAAAATATCCAAAACATGTAACACTATTTCGATTTGCGTAGCGATCCTTTGTTTACATAGGTTGTACGGCTCCACGTGCTGTCATCGAAGCCGACGGAGAGCAAACGATGCAGCCAGTTTGATATCTAAATATGTACTGTCATAGACGTAACTGTCGCAGTTGTGGAAGAATATATATGTAACAATGTAAAACATTGTGAAGAGAGCGCCGAAACGCTCTCGTGAGTCCAGTCTCTTCTTATAATGAATATGCGCGTTTGATTACAAACAAGAGAAAAGTCCGGTCACGTGATATGCAAATTAGCCTGTGGCAGTGATGTTATGTTAAGTCATCGCTGTGCCGGAGTGTGGTCATACACGTATAATGATAAAGGGGCATAACTCCGTTATGCTTAACACTAGGTCAGTGTAACTCAGATCACATGGAGAGAGAATTTGTTGTGGATACGGACGCTATAATTTACTTATTTTTTGTTCAAGGTGAACCAAACTATTCCAATTCAAAGTTCCCCAATGTGAGCGGATACGCTTTGATAGTTTCACAATTTATAAGAAAAGATGACAACGTACTACATGTGAAAGGACGTAATAGCGATTTGGATGGCCCTATCCGATATATAAGTTAGTTCTTAGATTCCCATATACATGTATTGTCCTGTTTGTGTAGATGTAATTTGACTAATTTTGCATCGTTATTACCAGAGTACTAGCCATATCTTCAAATGTAATGAAATTGCTGAAAATAATACAACATTTTAGTTGACGTCATTTCTTGTTTTATGCATTTTGCGACGTCGGAAAAAGACGACATTGGTATGCTGATTAGTATACATCTCACCTAATTTCCATTAATTGTGTGAAAGGTCTCGGCTTCTATGTCAGAATTTAACACTCTTTAGACAAAACATAAAAATGACTGATTTTCCCATTTAAATAGTGTCCTGAATATATCAACAATTAGACAGTTGGACTGTGTATCTAATTGTGAGCAACACGCGCACCTGTTTGGCATCAATTTAACGTAAATGAAAAATAACATTTCACAACACCCGAATATTTTGTTTAGGATAAGAATTTTCTTTGTTAATGATTATGTAGCTATTTCTCTTCATAGGTATGCAATGGAAGGTGCAAAAAGATAGATTTTTATATATGGAACTAGTACGTACTATATATTAGAATACGGATGTAAGATTTGTCCGAATTAAGACGACATGGTTCATATATTTTTAAACAATTTTCGTATAAATATAGTAAGAGTTTGATATCCTGTCATCACAATATTTCTAAATCGAATATGAATTGATTATATAACGAAAACAATGATAGTGAATCATAAAACATTTCCGACAAACGCGCACCTGGCCAATCAATATACATCATTAATTTCTCTATGAAACGACACAAAAAGGTGCAATGAACAAGACAATTCCTTTAAATAAGTGTGCATATATATTTCATAACATATATAAATCATTTTCATTAAATATTATCAGTTTTACTTATAAGGTTGAATTAATTCGACGTTCATTAACCTGTTCATGTGAAACTGCAATATTAGTCCAAATGCATTGAATATTGTACATCATAGGAACTAAAGTAATTGCAGTTATGGCTACGTTTGATCTTCTAACACTTGTGTAAAGGTTTAGAATATTGTGTACTGCACTAAATGTGTCAATTTCCTATGTAAATATTATTCAAACAATCAAAAACTTTCAAAGAATAAAACACCGTAAACCATATATGCACGTAAGATATATTGGACAAGGCTAAATGTAGATACTGAAGTCAGTTTCATGAAAAAGTATCTGAACTATACGCAAAATATACATCATAACACAGACAGTGTAATCGGAAGGATTGGGCGATTGTGTTTACTCTTGTTCAACCGACCTTCACCTCAAAGAAATTGCCTAATATGTACAACAATGTTGACGTATGACATCACTACTGATGACCTATTTCTTACAAAATGGCGGCTTTGCTGACAAGAATACACAGGATTTTGCAAGGACCCTTCCATTGATTCAGGGATCGTTTGTACATAAATATATATGACATGTAAGTAATCAGAATGATTCTGACTATCTGTGTATTGTTATATGTTTTTAGCATTTTCACTGTAAGTAAGGGAAGAAGCCAAAAATGCTGATAATTACAGTTGTCGTTCTGCGTGATTTTGCGTCAGTCATGGCCTCACGCCGCACGGAAGCTTTGACAATTTCTTATGAATTATAAAATCATTGCATTGTATCTATTTATAATTTCCTATTTCTTGCTACGATACTCTTTCCATGCATATTCCAAAGGTATTGAGCCATTGCAAGCAATGAATAGACGGATGAATGTTGAAAAATTTCAGAAAATGCTACGCAGTGTAAAATCGGAATTTGTCTTTGTTTACATTTCGAACCAGCGCAGTCTTTGGAGCACAGCGTTCGTTTTCACACCCAATTTGTTTCGTCTCATTTTATCTAGACAGTTGGTATTGGTGACAAAGACCAGTTGCAATTTATGGGTAATTCAGTGATGCATTTTTCGTAGCTGAATATGAAATATACGTGATGTAATAGGCGTCTCAATACCGGCCTTCGCGAAACGTGATTTTGTAAACACTATCCAATATGGCGGAAAGCGCTCTACGGCGTTCGTGTAAGTGTATTTTCGAAAACATCCCAACCGATTCTAGATTCATCGGTAACGTTTCAGAATTATCATTAGCGATTTCATGTAAAACTGATATCAGTGATCATGAATATGTTATTTTTGAAGTTCAATACACCCAGTAATTATCCGATTTTCACATTTCAAAACATACAGCAAATAACGCTGTGATTGCGATTTCGTACTGTGTCAAAAATGGCGACATCTTCGATGAAGCCTATTTTGAAAGGTCATTTTCAGCACTTGAGCTTCGTCTAAAATACAAGTGGATGGTATCAAGAAACATGGGAGATTTCCCGCAGAATTCGAAACTGTGAAGTGTATTTGTGTGCGTGGGATATTTTGATTTTTTGGGGACTTCAAATTGAGGGTTGAAGAAGAAGGACATATTATTATATGTCCCTGTGGCACCCAGGGGGTTAACAGAGCAGTTCGTAAAATCCCGTTCACCTATCTGTAACAAGAGCTATATTACTACATTGATATTATGACAAATCCAGAGGAATAATTAAAAAATGATCTCGGAAAGGTGTAGTGCGAAACCAACACAGTGTGCCAAGTGCAAACCTTACCTTCGGGGAATCATCACAGTTACAGATTATACTGTGACGTGGCATGACGTCACAATGCAACGTTCACAAACACTTTGTGACCCGACGTTGCCATGCGTTACAATAGCGGCTTACAATGGCAATGGTAAATACAATGATCAAATACATGTTTGGGTGGCACACTCAAATATTTATACTTATTACCTAAGAGGTCGAAAATATCGGGGTTCATTTTTTTCATACGATGCCCTAGGGCAAAATATCACTTTGTCATGGTGACGTGACGTCATGAACAATGCTATGACGTTGCGTTCTACATACGGCGACGGCGGGTAGCCAGCCTGTTTGAAAGTAGATTTGGGTTATTTTCCTCAATTTGACGACTTCGGTGATAAACAGAATATTATATGAGTGCCCATATCATACCATGTTTACGACACTCGTGCCTAAATATCCGTATATCCCAACATTTTGGCACTCGTGTCGTAAACATAGTATGACATGGGCACTCATATAATATCCTCAATATATGTATATAGATGTGGGCAAGGGCCCCGTTTCACTAAGCTCTCGTAGGCCTAAGATCGTACCTCCTATGTTACAGTATAGCAGGTACCAATGCTACGAGAAAAGTTACGAGATCTTAGGCCTACGAGAGCTTTGTGAAACTGGGCCCAGCAGTCCCTGGTACAGCATTGGTACCGTTGGTCCATTACACGTAAGTATATAGGTTTAGGTGTTGCAGAGATGTATACATGAGGTAGGTCACGTTGCTAAAATTAGGATTAGGTAGATTTTTAGGTAGATTATATTAAACAGTAAGGTGTATGACAATATTTCTATTTGATTACTTGTACACCTATATTTTACGATGAGAACACTAGTTACAATATTACTAATTAATATGGTAGAATATGCTTTATATGTTAACATTTTATGCCGAAAACATTCAATCCACAGAAAGCTTTACCCTCAGTTTAACCTCCACTAAATGCCACACTGGATGCTCTGCATGATCCTATATGAAAAGTGTTTAAAATAAGTGGTCAGCATGTCATTGCCTATTTACCTGAACAATAGATCTCCTGTAAAAGCCATAACTATCAGCTACTGAATTTTCATACCCATTTTGATTAGACACCATGTGTATTGAACTATATGAACTATCCATTTATTGTAAAACGTACCGGTGAAAAGAAATAAAGTTATACAAAATGTGTTTAAAATATATGAACTTAATATATATAAATTGCCCAAAATGTGTATGAAATGTATAAAAGGTGCTCTTGAATGATAAGTTGTATGAATAAATGAACGAACAAATGTACATGTTTGTGTTATGAAATAATGAAAATATAGACTAGAAATCATTTTGCCAGGACCAAATAACTTTTCCCAAACTATGTTTTTGACATGTGCCCTAGGTTTAATCCCCAACTTCCATTGTTTCGCTAATCCTTTATAAACTGACAAGGGTAAAATGTTGCGCCAGGCCCACTTGCCTGAAGGGGCTATAATGAGCAAATTAACACGATTGTCGGCCTGGCGCTACCTCCTCGCTTACACTACTCCTTGCTCTATTGTTCCACTGATTGGCCAAGCTGGCCGCAGCACTTCAATGTTCACAAAAAGGCACAAAGTTTCTTCAGCTTCAGGCTGTATCAGCTGTTTCATGTTGCACCTTGTTCTGTTGTCATTTATTTGTTGTTTCCTCCGTGTTCCTTGTAACGCCCTTGGCATATTACACCACAAATACTATTTTATTGCGGAGCAGTCCAGGTTTGAGTGTAAATCGAAACTTCTTTCCTGTTTTTTGTTTGTTTGTTTTTGTAAAAATTGTAATCATGAATTTTCAACTACACAATTACAGGTTCTACAATTTGTCCAGTTAAAGTTTGATACCCTGAACTCTATAGACTTAATGATACACGAGTTGAATTTATGTTTCGAGTTACGACTCGTTTACTTTTCATCATTGTACACTGGTCACAATTCGATTCATTTAAACATCAGCATTAAGAATTGGAACATTTATAATGTTATGGAAAAGTTTCTGATTCTTGGTTTAATGTGACAATCTAGATTGATAGTGTTATTGTTTTTCTTATCACACACTGATCGTCTTTCTGTCTATCTCTGTTGCTGGATTTATTCCATATTTCTAAAAAAATGAGTCGGGGATCCATGGAATTGTAGAGAAGATTTCAATTCCATAGTTTCATTGACTGCAAAACATGTTCACGTGTGTTGTAAACAGTTCTTTTGTGAACAGTGTTGAAATGAAAATACGCTACGTCTTTTACGGGATCCGTTGTAGGTACCCCTTTAAAATATAAAATCAGGTATATAATATAAATGATGGGTGGTTAACATTACTGGAAACATTATTACACAAACTTAATACCACTATATCATTACATTGATCTCCCCTGTAAAGTAGCACTGGAACAGACCACTTACCTTCTACACACTATTCAGTGTTGTATAGAGTTACGTTGAACTATAGGGTCGACCTGAGGCGTCTCGCAGTTTTCAAATCAGCGCTTATACAACCCTTTCGATGAACTGACCCGCGAACGGTGCATACCTAACTCACACGTGGTACAACGTGACTTCGCGTTTGATCCGCCCCTGTTAAATAAGCATCCTCATGTGTATGTCGCAGCTAATCAGGTTAGAATGCGGCGTCTATGGGCTGCGTTTGAGCGAGGCGTTCGCTCGTTGCCAATCAATCATTGATACGAGAGACGTATAAATAGTAAAATTCTCAAACATTTCAAGAGTATGATTAAAAAGATAAACAGGTGATAAGACATTAAAAGATACACATAATAAATGGGGTACCAATAAGAATAACAGTCCAGGTATATAAAAATACTCCTTCGTTTAAAAAGTATAGTATGGCAGGTTCTGGAGGTGTGAAAGACTAAATCTGGGTGTCCTAAAATATTACCCAAAAAGCTGTCTGGTTGACAGGTAATCAAGGTCTGGCCATTTTTCCTTGCTAGCATTGATGAGATCCTTTCGTTTTTCGTTGTAAAGCGGACAGGTTACAATCACATGTATCTCGTCCTCTATACAGTCTATATGTAGAAACAGAGTCTCTCATCTAGGGGAATATTTTCGTAACGTCCTGTTTCCACTCTCAGCGGCGCTACTCCACATCTAAACATAGACATGGCACTTCTATGAGCTCTGGGTATAGGACATCTGACATAAGGTTCCGTTGTGTTTGAACATTCTGTAAGTTCTGAGTTTATTTCAGCTGGCACCATTGGTTCCCGTATCACACACACACACACACACACACACACACACGATGCTGTATACCTCTGTAACGTAGCTCTAAGGACTAGTTTGGTTAAAAGCTTCTTCTCCGCAAGGATTATGTCCAAAGTTCAAGTCTCGAAGATGTGTTCTTATTCTAACATTCCAGTTCTTTTTCGTTGTTGTAAACACTCTCTTGTTAATTTTTCTTGAACTTGTGTTGTTCATTCTTGCCCAGTGTCCAGCCGCGCTTGTCCACTGTCGTACTTCGGGGGGGGAATCCATCCGGAGTCACCATTTACAGCAAGATTTGGCGCCTACTTCCCCAATCCGAGATGGAACCTAATAGCTCTGTGGTGTACAGCGTTGACCGGTGAATGGTTTGAGGTACCCCATATAGCGGATCCATAGCCCATGATCCAGTAGCCAATAGCCAACGTAAGTACCATACCAGGAAACAGTAAGAGGAGCGGACGATGTATATTACCTGTGGGGTACACTGTAAAAACGGCGTTTAGCATCTAAACACTACCGTTACATGTTTAATGTTAAACGCGTTTAGGATAGTGTTTAATATCTAAGCAGGACGGTGATATTACGCCTGATATCTAAACGTGTTTAGATTTTAAACACATTTCTAAACATGTTTTGATAAATTTCCATGTTCTCATATGTTGTACATTTTACTTCTATTTCCACCTATTTCATATCAATATTGATTTGAGACAAACTAAATTTAAATATGCGTAGCTTGACTCTTTGTTCAAAAGAACTGTTTTGTTATACTTTGTGACAGGCATGACTAATCATTATAGTGCAGACTTGTTATAACGGTGTCTAAAATAACTGTCACTCATGTACTAGTTTGCGAATGTAGATTGCAAACACATTACTTGAATCGTGTTCCTGTTTTTTGTTTGTTTGTTTTTTAATTGCATAAATGTTTTTTTACAACAAAAAACAAATCATTCCGATTGCTATGGATATCATTACATGGAACATTCAAGTAAACAATATGTTCCTGTTTCGATCATCTCATTAATTGTCTCAAATCATCTGAATATATTGTAAAGAATGATAAAAATTTGTATTGATTTTAATCCAAATATATATTCGTAGTAAATGCCTTTTATTTTTAAATATCAAGTCACATCTAGATCTAATTAATCTATTTTGTAAGGGTCGTTGAAAATAATATCACAAAACATCAATGATCTAGATCTAATGAGTATACAGTTATTTAGATTTAAAATGTTGAACTACAAGGTTTTAAAATATTCTGATAGTGTTCAAATAGTTCAACAGTCATGATAGTTGATGAGTATAAAAAAACGTTCAATTGCGAGTATCTGTGAGAGACTTGAACACCCTTTCGCCGTTCCCGAACAGAACAAAGAGTGGACTCAGAGTGGTTCAGAGTAATCTCCCTTGCGATGTTTCGCCATTTTTGCCTCCATATTTCCCTAAACAGGTTTTAATGATCATTTGTATGTCTCTTATCCACAATGGATGAAAGGGCAACGGTAAAATATGTTTCTGAGTTCCTCAAACAAAACAACGTGTCAGAAGAAAATATCAAGGTGTTTGAAGGTAAGTTGAGACTATACAAGAAGCTTGCATGGTTCGGTCCACGTGGCCCGCCTTTTTTCAAACTAAAGCATTGCAAACCTGTAAGCTCATGAGCACAAAACCTTTCGAAATTTAGAAATACTTTTTTAAATTATGTCATTTACAGTGAAAGCGTAATGTAAATTGTCTTTAGCACTATAGTATATTCACCCCGTAGCTTGGGAAAACAGAATGTAGGCCTACGGTCGTTGGTTTCACGTTAATTTTCGACTCGCTGTGCGCATGCGTAGAGCGTGTAAAAATATCAACTGGTCAACTTCCGGTTTGGTCGTATTACCTATAGTGTAAACACACTCAAAATAAAAGCGCTATGAAGATTAATTACGTGTGACAACTGTTCATAGTTGAGTACATACATCCATTTGCCTATGCTTTTCAATAATTCATGTCCTATTTTGGTGGCAACTGCATCAGAGATGTGTTTTTTTAGTTGTGAGAAGGGGATGTGCAGGAAGGACGGTTGACGGGTGGTGGTGAGATGCGTTTATACAAGAGCTTGTTAACAAACGTAAGCTATTTATTTAACTAACCCCGGTCCTTTCCATTCATAAATGAATTGAGATCAGTTAAATTCGACATAAACCATATATCTGTTTTGATTTTTCCTTACTTTAGAGTGTGTTTACACTATCGGTAAAGCATACGACCAAACCGGAAGTTATCCAGTGGATAGTTTTTACACGCTCTGCGCATGCGCACTGCCAGTCGAAAAATAATGTGAAACCAACGAATGAGACAGGCACAGTTACTCAACACCCCTTTTTTCTGTGAAAGGGATAGATTTATATATCGTCTATATTACGTAAATACAGATAATTTTGGACCCATGAGAGATAGACCTTTTATAGTTGGCATCTCCACTGGCGTAGGAACGATACAAGCATGACAATTGGGGTTATTGTGTGTGAGGGGGGGAGGAGCTCAGACTGCTAAGTGAAGAGAAGAGGGGCCACGGATTGTTGTGAGAAGTGTAAGGGTGGGGGTTGGACCAGAGAAGATGACCAGTTATGGTATATCCAATATGGGAAACTACAATTTGTGTTACTTGTTTTTGATATATTTAGCATCTTTAATCAGAGATGCATCATTATGTGCTATAATCAATATTATATGTTATATACTAGCCTATACTTTGGCAAAACATACGACTTCAAGACAGAGCCTGAATGAGGATGACCTTATGACCTTATTTATTGGTGCCAAATTTATCAAATCTGATATGTGATCATAACTACTAGTAATTGTTGGGATCGGGGCTCGCAAACACTTCTCTAGTTTAAAATACAATTTACAATTTATGCATAATGAATGCATGTCAGCAAGAATTTTAGATGAGATTGATTACTAAAAAATTACTTTTGTTTCAGCTTAACCATCCCACTATTAACAAGGCTAGTAACACCTTGAGACATTACAACATACAGATTAATACAAACTTTGAAGATGAATCAACAGTGCAGCATGTGCCCGTTTTTTCTAACAGTAGACAGGAACTAACATATCATCTGCTGTCTCATCAACCTAATGCATCTAACTTCATAATACACTGTAGTGGAGCAGGGTGTGGAGCAAGTTTTAGGAAGTTAGATTCATTTAGAAGGCACTGTGAAAGGAAACAGGGAAAATGAAATGATAATTCAGATCTTCGTATTTTATGTTATTGTTCAGAATTTTAGTATCCCATAATTGCCACTAATTTTGCCATGCAATAATACATGTTAATTTAGGGGTCATTATTTTACAGCTACTTCTGAGATGGACCTGACAGAAGCTAAACAAGCTTTAGACATCGAGCTGAAAAAAACTCAGACTGAACAGGATAGGGCAAAGATCCTTAAACTACAAAGAGTCACATTTAAAGATAGGAGAAATTTTGTTGCACGAGTTAGGGAAGATGGCAGCATTAGAGCTATAACAAATGAATATCCAAGTCTTGCAAAGAGTCTTTTGTAAGTGATCCAATATCATCCTGATTAAAAAACTACAGGAGAAACATTTACCATGTCTACACAATTACTCCTAGGCCAAATGTAGAGATAACATTATTATCAGGTAATATGATACACCCAGCTGTATCACCCTTACTGCATATCCTGATCATGTTGAACATCAGTGCTTGTCACCGTCCATTAAACCATGCAGTTAATACTCATGAAGTTGGTCTATGAACATGTGGACACTGTTTCAACAGCGGGGTAAACCTTGTTTGTTTTCAGCAACCTGATACATTCTTTGTCTAGTTCCACATTGACAATAATCTCTGGAGGATGGGAGTTGTCATACCAATTACTGGATAACACTTTTACTGCTGGTGAAAGATCCTAAAAGACAGGGACTTTTCTAACATTTGGCCTAGGACTACAGTTCCCATAAAAGTTCTAGTACAACAGCATTTTTGCCATACCCGAGAACATAATGTTCTATATTTGTCAGAAAATATTAGCTTTTTTATGCATAAATGTTTGTTTTACAGGTGGAGAAGGAATTTTCTTGATGAAATCAAACCTTGGTAAAAAAAAAAGGGGCATGATGGAAAAATTCAACGAGCTGCTTTCCGACATTAAAAAACTTATTGGTGTTAATGCAGTTGTGGTGAATAAATAAAATCTTTATTTAAGGCCAAATAGAAAAAAATTCTTGGTTCTCAGGCACCGCCGCATCAACCTGGAAGCTCCCAAGATCTTTTTTTATTTTCATTTTGAGCAGAACAAAGATTTTGACCCCTGGGTAGCCCATATTTTCTAATTTAAAAAAAAATAGACATGCAAATGTGTTGGACTTAGGAAAAAGGCAGGGGTAGGCTTTGTTTCCGGAGCACAACTCGAAAACCGTTCAATATCTTTCAACAAAACTTGGCAGTTATATGAGTCAGATGTCAAAGTGGTGCCTTTTGCTATTTGCAGCTTTTCCAATTTTTTGTTTTCGGTTTCCATGGAAACGTTTTGGACTTAAGTCTCAAAAGGAAGGTGTGGCTAAAAATATCAAGTTGGACTTCAAGTAACTGTCAGATGATTTGTTCTTTCAACTTTGTGGGGGCCAGGGGGGATTTGTCATCGTCTGATGACTTGTTTTGAAAACCCATTGCCTGAGAACAATCAACAGTGCAGGTGTTGAAGTTATTGGAGACAACAATTAAGATCGTGTCAAAATCGAAGAAAGCATTGCCAGATTTAATTACACGAATGGATGTAAGTTAACTATCTACAACAAGCTTTTGTCATTGCCTGAAGAATTGTTGTAGTGTATATATTCAGTCAAAGATTATTTGTAGAAGTTATTTCAGAGAAATGAATGTTTTCATTTAATGTTTTAATATCTGCCATGTGGTATGTCTACTGATACATTCAACTTTCCTTCATTTGAATTTCAGGTGAAAGGTGCCGACTTCTCCTCACGAAGGAACGAAGCACCCAGACTGGTGCTAATAAATGGCACTAACACAAGCGCCTACATTGTAGGAGACAACATACAGATGAAGGTCAGCAACACTGTACAGATGAAGGTCAGCAACAGGTTCAGGAGACAACATACAGATGAAGGTCAGCAACAGTGTGTAGGAGACAACATACAGATGAAGGTCAGCAACAGTGTGTAGGAGACAACATACAGATGAAGGTCAGCAACAGTGTGTAGGAGACAACATACAGATGAAGGTCAGCAACAGTGTGTAGGAGACAACATACAGATGAAGGTCAGCAACAGTGTGTAGGAGACAACATACAGATGAAGGTCAGCAACAGTGTGTAGGAGACAACATACAGATGAAGGTCAGCAACAGTGTGTAGGAGACAACATACAGATGAAGGTCAGCAACAGTGTGTAGGAGACAACATACAGATGAAGGTCAGCAACAGTGTGTAGGAGACAACATACAGATGAAGGTCAGCAACAGTGTGCAGGAGACAACATACAGATGAAGGTCAGCAACAGTGTGCAGGAGACAACATACAGATGAAGGTCAGCAACAGTGTGTAGGAGACAACATACAGATGAAGGTCAGCAACAGTGTGTAGGAGACAACATACAGATGAAGGTCAGCAACAGTGTGTAGGAGACAACATACAGATGAAGGTCAGCAACAGTGTGTAGGAGACAACATACAGATGAAGGTCAGCAACAGTGTGTAGGAGACAACATACAGATGAAGGTCAGCAACAGTGTGTAGGAGACAACATACAGATGAAGGTCAGCAACAGTGTGTAGGAGACAACATACAGATGAAGGTCAGCAACAGTGTGTGCAGGAGACAACATACAGATGAAGGTCAGCAACAGTGTGCAGGAGACAACATACAGATGAAGGTCAGCAACAGTGTGCAGGAGACAACATACAGATGAAGGTCAGCAACAGTGTGCAGGAGACAACATACAGATGAAGGTCAGCAACAGTGTGCAGGAGACAACATACAGATGAAGGTCAGCAACAGTGTGTAGGAGACAACATACAGATGAAGGTCAGCAACAGTGTGCAGGAGGCAATGCTGACACTCATGTTTTCCTACTACGCTTGGGATCTAAGTTATCCCAAACGTGTTCGACTACTTAGACTACTCCAATCTTATGTTCTTGGAGACAGTGCACCTTTTTTCAAGGGATCAAACTACCAGAAGTTTATGAAAGAATTGGAGGATAGTTTAAGTCAGTAAACACTTTCCAGTGACAATTACCAGTACCAACCAGACATGAACAATATAAAGTCCAGTTTTTATTGTGTTTACAGTATTTTGCAAATATTGAAATGATTAAAATAATTCAGTTTACTGTGATGTTCATTTCATTTCAGTGCATTTTGTTTGCAAGGAAAATGTCCTGCACAGAAAAGATACATAATGGGTTAAGTTAATGTCTTGCTAAAGACCATAGGGTTCTGCATCATTGTTTGGGTAGATCTCATAATTTTGTAAATATTTTTCTTAAAACGTTTTAAAGAAAGATTGATTGCCGTTTCTAACTTTGATGCGGGTTGGACCTAATCTCAATATGCTGTTTTTATTGTTTGAATTAGAATTTATTTTACCAAAACCATTTGGATTGTTTCTGCATTCTCCAAAAAAGTTTAGCTTTCCCCTATTCATTGCTATGTGTGTTTTATAGTACTTGATGAAATACTTCTGACCTTTTTAAAATTAAAACTACGGCAAGAGATTTGGAAAGTTTGTGCTTGTATTTTGAACATCAATCATTGTTTTCTAGGAAGGCTTCTTTGAGTTCTTTATTTGTGATTTTATCAAAGGTGTTAACCAAATCAAATTAATTATGGGTACTGTATACACTCAGTGATTTCTTTAAACACTGGGCATGCATATACAGCCTGTAACATTTCACTGTTTTTCCATAACCTATATATCAAGTTTCGTAAAACTATAAATAAAATTGGTTTCTATGAACTTAATGCTCTCGCATTTTCAGGTGATAATCAGGATTATTTCGGTACAACTATGTACTGATATGCTAAACACAATCCTAAACGCGTACCTATTCTGTTTTTTTACATGTTAAGGTAGCTAAACATGTTTAAGCATCTAAACATGTTTAGATGCTAAACTCATTTCTTAACATGTTTAGGTAACTAAACATGTAAAGGGAGTGTACACAATATCACATATTCGGTGTTTTTTTCTTCCCGAATAATGCGACCCCTTAAACGGTCAATATTGTTTCATTAAGTAAAAGATATATACATTGTTCACTGTCTGATTTTCTGACAAGATTTATAGTGATCCCCTGATTTATCCTGGGTATTTAAGCTGAGCTTAAGGTGATGGTAAAATACGGATCAGCTTACTTATACAGCGACATGTATACACGTGTGTGTGGCACCATTGCCAGTATTGATTGCAACCCGCGTCGTACAGCTGTACCTGTACTGAATGCAGCGTCAAGCAAACACATAAACATATAGCCCAGATTGTAAATAGACTCTGCTTGTAGCAGAGATTTCTTATGAAGGTGTAAAGGGCTTTGTCGTTTCTATTTACGCCAGTTTTGTGCGCACAGAATCCAACCGTGGTGAATACCCCAACAGTCAAACAGTCTTATCCCCTTAATTGCGGAATTTAGGTCGGGTAATAACTCTTACCATCCAATGAAATTTACTATTAATCGATAACAACTTCTATGATACACTATTATGGCGACGGTTTGGGCAGGAGGGTGGGGATTTCTACCGAAACGTGGCTGTAATAGGGTATTAAATAAGTTGCTGTGTCTACTTTCTCTTCCGTCAACTTCCATGAAATAAGTATCAAAGAATTTAGCCTTTGATAAACATTTTGAAGTTAGAAGGACACGAATACGTGACACTTTTATATAGACAACACCTTCTTTTATTCTTTATCACGATGTTTCAGAGCTACTTCTTGCTCGCGGCATCATCGGGTGAATGCTGCATGTATACTTGTTTCATAGCCTGACATGATAGACCAGGAAGTTGGATGCAGGTTGAAAGAGAACACACTGTTTTACCTCTGATAACGCGTAAGATGACAATCCTTTGTTCTGGGATGATGGTAAGTTGAGGAATCTGACTTAAGTACCTACGTCAACAGCTGAGGTATTTTGACTAACGGTTAATGTCAAAATATGAAATCAACATACCACAAAATGCAGTTCTTGAGAAAATGTGCAACTAGTGCATCAGTATCATTAGGAACCGTTAATGATTTAAGGCTAGGGGGTGGGATGATGTTGATTTAAAGTGGGCGTCACCCATTTTGTTCTGGGATGGCAAGGGGGGAGGGGGAAATAAATTTTGTTCACATGTATTAGGGGGTCAGCAATTCTGTACATAGAAATATTAAAACATTACGCTTTAAAAATATGGGAAGGGAGGGGGCATTGATTTTGTACATGACAGGGCGGGGTCACTTACTTTGTACATATATTTTAGGGGTCATTCACATTTACATGCTTCTCCATGAAAATCATCAACCACCCCACCCCCCACTCCCACCCCCTAGCCATATATTATGAACGGTGCCTTACCCCATACATAAGCACTGTGATTATCAAAGGGCGAGGTTACACATGATTAACGTTGGACGCTTGAATGTTCAACAACAACTAGTCATCAAGTAAATCATTTCAAGATAATCCTAATTTATCGTGATCAATCTTTGTCTCCATGAGGCCAGAGAATAAACTTACTCTTTTCCACATTTCGAGGCTAGGTTAAGGTTATTAATGAAGTCGTTCATCCTGAGCGATAAAGGATGTTCGTGATCATCAGACGGAGTTGGGTAGTTGAGGCTTGCACTGTTCTTTCGTTGTTCGCGGTTCGTGTGCAGATCGCCCAAACGCATAAGTGTGGGTTACCCTCACTTGTCCAGTCACAGCAAGAGTCTTTATGTTGTATTTACTTTGGAGATTCGAGGTCACATTATCAGGTCACGGTGTCCGATAAGGGTACGAGTCCCTACTGGTTGAATGTGTGGAGTAAACAGTTTCAAGATCATGTCTATGAAAATGCAAACATCCTTGGCAGTAAACAATGTATCATAAATCCAAATATATGTGTCTCTTTATGACTAAAGACAACAAAACCGTTAAGTATCTGTATATTTCTTGATTATATGTGATAATATAGAAGTAGTACTTTATCTTTAACAAAGGATACATGATTTTTTTTCCATTTCTGGTCAATGAAAGGTTGGCTTGATTTCATAAACATTTCCTTTGTGAACTGTTAGTGTGCCGTATTTACCCGAGGTGTCACACAATTGTCATATGCCTCGTGTGGAAAGATCACAGCAACGTTACATGGGCCCCGAAAAAGTTTCAAAACGTGTATGCATGGTAGACATGTGGGGGACATTTCCAAATTTACGAATCAGGGCCTAGATTTTCGAAGCACTCTTAGCGCCAAGATAGTCGTAAGTTAATGTTAATGTATGGCACTTATCTTTCTGCCTTCAGTAGAAATTTGGAAAGGGCATTTTCGCTTTTATTTGTGTGTTATTCATTATGTATGACCGGTAATGATACTGCCCTTGCTACCCCCTCCCCGACAGTTGTACATACTGTTGCCAGGAGGGGTTGTTGGTTCCTGTAATTACATCAGAATAAGTAGAACATGAAGTTTTAAACATGGGTTCATATGATATCAGTAATAATTATATATGATACTACAACATGTTAAAACTAACCAACAAACCATCAGTAATAATTATATATGATACTACAACATGTTAAAACTAACCAACAGACCATCAGTAATAATTATATATGATACTACAACATGTTAAAACTAACCAACAGACCATCAGTAATAATTATATATGATACTACAACATGTTAAAACTAACCAACAAACCATCAGTAATAATTATATATGATGCTACAACATGTTAAAACTAACCAACAGACCATCAGTAATAATTATATATGATACTACAACATGTTAAAACTAACCAACAGACCATCAGTAATAATTATATATGATACTACAACATGTTAAAACTAACCAACAAACCATCAGTAATAATTATATATGATGCTACAACATGTTAAAACTAACCAACAGACCATCAGTGATAATTATATATGATACTACAACATGTTAAAACTAACCAACAAACAACGATAACAAAACAATACAGAAGCCAATACGAAAATCGTCAAATTATAAATGAACCATATATTACTCAATATACACAATATATACTGGATTACAATATATATATATATATATATATATATATATATATATATATATATATATATATATATATATACGTGCATTCCTAGTAAGCAGTTATAAAATCGTTCTTATATAACCGAACACATTGACCTATAAAATTGATGTTGTATAACCGAACACATTGACCTACATAGCGGGGCTGATACACACAAGCAAACGTTCACGTGGCCACGTGGTCAGCGAGCCGTGTTAACTCACGAAGCATGGTCTGCTTGCCTGACAGACTGCGTTCACACAAAGCAATGCAAGCATTAGTCACGGTGATAAACGGTACCCCAACCTCTTTCAGCACAAACTGACTGATTGTCCACAAGGACATTAACGACCTATTCTGATAACCAGGTGATCGCCTATTGTTACCTTCAAGAAACTGGATAACAACTTCAGTGATAACTGACATACATACGTTAAACACTCACTGGGATGCCAGTGCGCATGAAACATATTCACAATACACATTTTATTGCTGGCAGACCCCAGGCTTATGAAGCGAGTTTTGGTCATTCTTGATGTGGCTTACACCAGAGACCATATAATAGAGGGACGGCCCTCCCCAACAGTTTATCACTAACCATCAGCGCTACGGCCTGACATGTAACTGATACACATCGACACCCTGCTGCTAACTTCCCTCTACCGGTACACATGCGCAACAAATTCTCAAATGAGCACACTGGTATGGTCTCTGCTTACACCGAGCACGGGGTGGTGGGGTAGTCTGTCTCACAGTCCCTGAACCACATTAATTTCCCTACTGCCAAGCCCTCTCTGCTGTGCTAAAGCCCTAAATAAAGCAAGTCTAGATTTCCTCTGAATCTCTGGTCTCCCTAGGGCTCCTTTTCAATATAAATGGGCTTGTTTGTTACTATCAAAATTAAATATATTCAGAGACTAAGCCTTAGTCTAGGTGGTGGGGCAATATGGTACTTTGAGCGTTTACTCTTTACACGGTTTGATTTCCCACGGGTACAACGTTTAAAGGCGATTTCCACGAGTGCATTGTTTAAAGACGATTTCTTTTATTCCCTGTTTGAAATTCCTGGAATATACCTGCATGAATATGTACATGAAACTAGAGTTGTTGTGTTGATGTGTTTCGTGTTCTATAACTCAGTCCTCAGTTGAGTTTAAGTATATTTCAGTGATTGATATCATGGTCAACATCAATCAGGTACAACCCTCAATCAACCAAGGCACAGAGCCTGTCCACCCGATTAACAAGTCTCCACTTGTAACCACTAGGTTACCCCAACGCCCCACTGATGTAACCACTGGGCCACCCAACCGCCCTACTGATGTAACCAAGAGGTTACCCCAACGCCCCACTGATGTAACCAATAGGTTACCCCACCGCCCCACTGATGTAACCACTAGGTTACCCCACCGCCCCACTGATGTAACCACTGGGTTACCCCACCGCCCCACTGATGTAACCACTAGGTTACCCCACCGCCCCACTGATGTAACCACTAGGTTACCCCACCGTCCCACTGATGTAACCTCTAGGTTACCCCACCGCCCCACTGATGTAACCTCTAGGTTACCCCCACCGCCCCACTGATGTAACCACTAGGTTACCCCACCCCGCCACTGATGTAACCACTAGGTTACCCCACCGCCCCACTGATGTAACCGATAGGTTACCCCACCGCCCCACTGATGTAACCACTAGGTTACCCCACCGCCCACTGATGTAACCACTAGGTTACCCCACCGCCCCACTGATGTAACCACTAGGTTACCCCACCGCCCACTGATGTAACCACTGGGTTACCCCACCGCCCCACTGATGTAACCACTAGGTTACCCCACCGCCCCACTGATGTAACCACTAGGTTACCCCACCGCCCCACTGATGTAACCACTGGGTTACCCCACCGCCCCACTGATGTAACCACTGGGTTACCCCACCGCCCCACTGATGTAACCACTGGGTTACCCCACCGCCCCACTGATGTAACCACTAGGTTACCCCACCGCCCCACTGATGTAACCACTAGGTTACCCCCACCGCCCCACTGATGTAACCACTAGGTTACCCCACCGCCCCACTGATGTAACCACTGGGTTACCCCACCGCCCACTGATGTAACCACTGGGTTACCCCACCGCCCCACTGATGTAACCACTAGGTTACCCCACCGCCCACTGATGTAACCACTGGGTTACCCCACCGCCCCACTGATGTAACCACTAGGTTACCCCACCGCCCCACTGATGTAACCACTGGGTTACCCCACCGCCCCACTGATGTAACCACTAGGGTTACCCCACCGCCCCACTGATGTAACCACTAGGTTACCCCACCGCCCACTGATGTAACCACTAGGTTACCCCACCGCCCCACTGATGTAACCACTAGGTTACCCCACCGCCCCACTGATGTAACCACTGGGTTACCCCACCGCCCCACTGATGTAACCACTAGGTTACCCCACCGCCCCACTGATGTAACCACTAGGTTACCCCACCGCCCCACTGATGTAACCACTAGGTTACCCCACCGCCCCACTGATGTAACCACTGGGTTACCCCCCGCCCCACTGATGTAACCACTGGGTTACCCCACCGCCCCACTGATGTAACCACTGGGTTACCCCACCGCCCCACTGATGTAACCACTAGGTTACCCCACCGCCCCACTGATGTAACCACTAGGTTACCCCACCGCCCCACTGATGTAACCACTAGGTTACCCCACCGCCCCACTGATGTAACCACTAGGTTACCCCACCGCCCCACTGATGTAACCACTAGGTTGCACCCCACCGCCCCACTGATGTAACCACTAGGTTACCCCACCGCCCCACTGATGTAACCACTAGGTTACCCCACCGCCCCCCACTGATGTAACCACTGGGTTACCCCACCGCCCCACTGATGTAACCACTAGGTTACCCCACCGCCCCACTGATGTAACCACTAGGTTACCCCCCTGCCCCACTGATGTAACCACTGGGTTACCCCACCGCCCCACTGATGTAACCACTAGGTTACCCCACCGCCCCACTGATGTAACCACTAGGTTACCCCACCGCCCCACTGATGTAACCACTAGGTTACCCCACCGCCCACTGATGTAACCTCTAGGTTACCCCACCGCCCCACTGATGTAACCACTGGGTTACCCCACCGCCCACTGATGTAACCACTGATGTAACCACTGGGTTACCCCACCGCCCCACTGATGTAACCACTAGGTTACCCCACCGCCCCACTGATGTAACCACTAGGTTACCCCACCGCCCCACTGATGTAACCACTGGGTTACCCCACCGCCCCACTGATGTAACCACTAGGTTGCCCCACCGCCCCACTGATGTAACCACTGGTTACCCCACCGCCCCACTGATGTAACCACTAGGTTACCCCACCGCCCCACTGATGTAACCACTAGGTTACCCCACCGCCCCACTGATGTAACCACTAGGTTACCCCACCGCCCCACTGATGTAACCACTAGGTTACCCCACCGCCCCACTGATGTAACCCACTAGGTTACCCCACCGCCCCACTGATGTAACCACTAGGTTGATGTAACCCCACCGCCCCACTGATGTAACCACTAGGGTTACCCCACTGCCCCACTGATGTAACCACTGGGTTACCCCACCGCCCCACTGATGTAACCACTGGGTTACCCCACCGCCCCACTGATGTAACCACTAGGTTACCCCACCGCCCCACTGATGTAACCACTAGGTTACCCCACCGCCCCACTGATGTAACCACTGGGTTACCCCACCGCCCCACTGATGTAACCTCTAGGTTACCCCACCGCCCCACTGATGTAACCTCTAGGTTACCCCACCGCCCCACTGATGTAACCACTGGGTTACCCCACCGCCCCACTGATGTAACCACTGGGTTACCCCACCGCCGCCCACTGATGTAACCCTGGGTTACCCACCGCCCCACTGATGTAACCACTAGGTTACCCCACCGCCCACTGATGTAACCACTGGGTTACCCCACCGCCCCACTGATGTAACCTCTGGGTTACCCCACCGCCCACTGATGTAACCACTAGGTTACCCCACCGCCCCACTGATGTAACAACTGGGTTACCCCACCCGCCCCACTGATGTAACAACTGGGTTACCCCACCGCCCCACTGATGTAACCTCTAGGTTACCCCACCGCCCCACTGATGTAACCCTCTAGGTTACCCCACCGCCCCACTGATGTAACCACTGGGTTACCCCACCGCCCCACTGATGTAACCACTAGGTTACCCCACCGCCCCACTGATGTAACCACTAAGTTGCCCCACTGTTACCCTACCGCCCCACTGATGTAACCAGCTGGGTTACCCCACCGCCCCACTGATGTAACCTCTAGGTAACCCCACCGCCCCACTGATGTAACCACTAGGTTACCCCACCGCCCACTGATGTAACAACGAGGTTACCCCACCGCCCCACTGATGAGCAAAAAAGTGTTTGAGAACCAAGTGTACGTCGTATATTTAACATTAAATAATTCACCAACTACGTGAGGAACAACAAACTGTACCTTTCAGGGGAATCGTATGTTTGAATTTAATTGACAACGACCGATACCCTCTCCATGACAAGTGTAATAGTTGACAACGACCGATACCCTCTCCATGACAAGTGTAATAGTTGACAACGACCGATACCCTCTCCATGACAAGTGTAATAGTTGACAACGACCGATACCCTCTCTATAACAAGTGTAATAGTTGACAGTGACCGATACCCTCTCTATGACAAGTGTAATAGTTGACAACGACCGATACCTCTCTCTATAATAAGTTGACAGTGACCGATACCCTCTCTATAACAAGTTTGACAATGGCCGATACGAAATGTATGATTAATTTCAAGCATGGTCACGTTTTCCTTTGTGCTGTCGGTCTCTCGAGTGTGTCGGAAATACACGAGTACAAGTTTGACCACAAATGCGATGACGGACACGACAAGCAACACAACGGTGAATGTAGAGTTAACTGCCCCTGGTTGCCAGTTCTGGGCAATGCTACCAGAGAGCGCCACTATCAACACAAGGTATGGTGTGACGGTGTAGCGGGAATATTTGTCCAGGAACGTCCAGTCAGAGATAGAAAACAACACAAGCTCACCAGCAAGTATGCCAAGTGAAATAGTTGAGCTCGTTCTAGGTGTGATGGTAAAGTCTCTTTCATAGGCGAGAGCTGCTGCTAGGTTTAACAATGTGGCAATGGTGCACCACGTTGCATACGTGGCCAGGCCATTCTGAACGAACACTCGCACCAGCCAGACATCTACCGTCCTGCCTTGTTCGACGAGGGTGGGTTCGTGATAGGCCATGTCGCGGTAGGACAGACCCAGGCAGATGTACGTGGACAGGTATGTGAGCAGCAGGAAGACCATGGACAACCATAGGTACTCCCGGTCAAACAGGAAGCTCCATCCCAGGACCACGCCCCAGTTGAGAGCGGACGTCAGGAACAACAACGGACTCAGCAAGGTCGGACTGACGTACACCGGGCCATTTGGGGCTTTCCTGATAAAAATAAAACTTTGGTTTAATTCGAACAGAACTGAGCAGAAGCTGCAAACATCTTACAATATTTGATTGTTATTTTGTTGATTGATAGTTGTGAATAAGCTCGCATGTTACTTCCATGGTTGAGTGAATGAGAGAGGGAAACAAACAATCATGAGACAAGTTTACAAATTGATCCCTTATTATAACATATTTAACATAGACGCCGTGTCAGACAGTGGTATTTATTGCCAAAAAGTTTTCCTGAACATCGATGGTTGGTGAATTAAATTTAACCACATGTAAATTTGAAATGCATTGTGCGATCCTATTGTGAAGGAGTACTGCTTGTCTGAATAGCTGGGCAAGCCTTCCCTGAACATACTTGCTAACACAAAGCCGTGATTTTGCACACAAGTTGCACAGTTCAAAGTGGTTTTTATCAACGAATTTGAGTGAGTGAGCTGGGTTTTACGCAGCTTTTAGCAATATTCCAGCAATATCGCGGCGGGGGACACCAGAAATGGGCTTAACATATTGCACCCATGTGGGAAATCGAACCCGGGTTTTCGGCGTGACGAGCGAACGCTTAAACTGCCCCAGGGATTTGAAGATATAGGGCTCTATAGCAATCGAAATAACGCCCAGGTGATGTATTGCAACCCATCACCAGGCGGTGTGAAGCACATAAGTCATCACTTATGCAATACATGGTCAAAGCACTGCCCACCAGCATTTCGTTATGAATGTTGTTATTTTTTATGGTATCTAGTCTGTACCTAATGTACGTGAGAGCGACGTACGAGGAGATTTCCGACTGCACATAGGCCATCGCTAAGTGTTGATTGGATACACATAAAAAACACCGAATTCTATCAGCTTACACAGACAGCTAATCTGTATTTAACAACTCACATCCGTGAACGGTTTTGTTATATACTGGCCCATTGTGTTGATTTCCTGTATTGTCAACCTAAAACCGTGGGTTAATTATCCATTGATCCTATGCGGGCATTAACCAATATCTCAATTCAGTCATGCACGTATCAGGATATCATCTGTTTCCAAGAGCCCCTCTATTAACACAGGGTAGCACGCCAGTCGGGTTCAACTAAGGCAGCTTTATTTCAGTTCTACTACGGAGTCAGTTAAATGTGTCCAAAATTATGTCAATCTCATTAAAATCAGCTAGTTATAACCAGCGCTAAACAACGATCCGAGGACATCCCATTACGAGGCTCATCAGAACGACCTTTCATCCGACCAATTAGAACGTCGCTTCTCTTTATCCGAAAGTGACGGTTGGAATGTGTTTACTAAGCATGCAAACTCGGAAGGAATAACATTGGAGAATCTAAACGTCAATTGGAGGCTGTACGACAGGTTCTGCCATATTATACTATCCGTCGCACAACTGAAAATCAAGAGAAGTCACTTTTCCAAAGCCTTTGAGGAGTGATGAAACATCTTGGCCATCTAGAATTCAAGAATTTTTGGGGGGTCAGAATTTCAAATTTTACAAATTTTCGATACTTTGGTAAAGTTATATTCTTAAACGTAATGTTCAATAGAAGTCGTCAGTTTGAAAGATGATTTCGAAATGCTTGATGAAGCCGCTTTCTGATTGGTTGATGTCGACGTCTTGATCGTCATGTCGTTCTTGAGTCAAAATTCTCAAAAGTCGTTCAGACAAGACTTGTCATGGGAAATCCTTTGATGTTTGCTTTGCGGTAGCGGCAACTAAGATTTGAGATCAAAACGATAGAATATAGCTAGGGCGGATCTGGATCAGCGGATGGGATGACGTACCTGCAGATGTTGATGATGCCGTACAGCATCCACAGAGCTTGCCACACGAAGATGACACCCCAGATACTGAACGTCGGACTGGCGGGGGTGATCTCTATGGCATACTTGTCAGATATGTCTTTGACCTCGTTAATGATAATTTCTGTAATGGAACATCGTCTAAGATTATTAATATTGTCTTTTATGAATGAACAGTGGGTGCAATCCTGCTCTCTGGAAGAATAAGTAGTCTGGGGCGGTGCTGTAGCAGGGTCATCAAGTAAGAGAGTCACACAGAAGGCCCGGCATCGATTCCCCACATGTGGGAAGCCCATTTCTGGTACCCCTCCCCATTACTGACCACAACTGAACTCACTTTCCCAGAAACATCTAATGTGGCTCGGTGTCAAACACAGACAAACATTCCCCTATAGCAAACCTTAGGTCGAGGAGAATTGGACAAAACAAGAGTGAGAAGACATCAGTGACGGTCGTGGGTGCATTACCATCTTAATAGCAACCCGTGGAAACTCCTTATGGTCTTGAGTTCCGGGTGATGCTTGATCAGAACGAGTGATGGGATGGCCGCTGTAGGCAATGGAGGTGTGACTCGAGGGTGGGTTCAACTGTATCTGCAATGCTAGGAGTAGATGGCTGTGTGGAAGTACATACTACAGGCAGTGGTATCGGGAAGGTGCGATTCATGTGTGTGTGTGTGTGTGTGTGTGTGTATGTGTGATCAGATAGTGTATGCATTCACACTTCAGAGAGTAGGGATTCACATATGTTCAGATAGTGTATGCATTAACACTCAGAGGGTAGGACTTCACATGTGCATTCATTTAGAATATGCATTAATTACACAATGTCATTTAGAAAGTGGTCAAATGTAACATATGTTATATTTGGGATTACACTTTCTTAGTAAAGTACAGATTCTAGTACGTTTTGGGTTGAGTCCCATCCGGGATTCGAACCCACACCCTCAGAGTCAGGCACCAATCGCCAACACACAAAGCTAGCGGCACTAACCCGCTCAGCCACCAGAGGGATACACAAAGTCCTCAGTCTAGACTACCAGTTGTCCGATTTCCATTTTTGTGGAAGTCGCGGTAGGTGAGCGGGTTAGGCGGATGGGACTCAACCCCCCAAAATACTAGAATCTGTACTTTACTAAGAAAATGTAATCCCAAATATAAGACTCAGACAGGTGAGATTCACATGAGTGTTTACTTTAAGTTAGTTTAATGCATTAACACTCAGACAGGTGGCATTCGCATGTGTGTTCGGTAAGTGCATGCATTAACACTGAGAGAGGTGAGATTCACGTGTGTTCGGATAGTGCATGCATTAACGCTCCGACAGGTGGGATTCGCATGTGGGTTCCTTCAGTATATACATTAACACTTAGACAGGTGATATTCAAATGTGTTTTTCTTTAGGATTGCATTTAGGATAGGATATGCATGTCCGTCATTTCCTTGTAAGTGTGTTCTTTATAAAAGTAGGTACTTTATATGCATTGACGCTCAGACATTGTGTGCACGTAGCACCTACACAGGTGGACTTCCACAACGTGATTTAGGCGCTGTTAACCTGGACAGAATGGGGTGTTTACTTACTATAGGAACCGCCCACTAGTTGTGGCATCCGTCCAAGGTAGATAGTCAACAAGTTGACAATGAACATTGCCCAGTTGACTAGCATGCTAATAACGAGGAAAGGAGAGTGTCCCCGCGTCATGGTAACCATGGTTACTGGATACCCTGAAAGGTAACAATAGCATATTAAATCATTGCCTTAGATTCAAATAACTTGCTACGTAGTAGCTAGTAGGGCTAATTATGAAGGAAAGCTAATATGGCATTATATGCATCCGAGGCTTGTGTGTATGACAACCTTGAGGTAATATAGAAAGCCTGCATTTAAACATGTATGCGTCACATCCATCCTTGATTATATGGTGTATGGGGAACTTGGGCGGTACCAACTTAAAATTCAGGTGAAAGTTTCTTGGAGTATAACTGTAACTGGATCAGCTATTGTATACCACTGAGTTATATAATGATGGCAGGAGTAAAACTATAACTGGATCAGCTATTGTATACCACTGCGTTATATAATGATGGCAGGAGTATAACTATAACTGGATCAGCTATTGTATACCACTGAGTTATATAATGATGGCAGGAGTATAACTATAACTGGATCAGCTATTGTATACCACTGCGTTATATACTGATAGAAAGGAGTATAACTATAACTGGATCAGCTATTGTATACCACTGCGTTATATAATGATGGCAGGAGTATAACTATAACTGGATCAGCTATTGTATACCACTGAGTTATATAATGATGGCAGGAGTATAACTGTAACTGGATCAGCTATTGTATACCACTGAGTTATATAATGATGACAGGAGTATAACTATAACTGGATCAGCTATTGCATACCACTGAGTTATATAATGATGGCAGGAGTATAACTGTAACACGATCAGCTATTGTATACCACTGCGTTATATAATGATGGCAGGAGTATAACTATAACTGGATCAGCTATTGTATACCACTGCGTTATATAATGATGGCAGGACTATAACTGTAACTGGATCAGCTATTGTATACCACTGAGTTATATAATGATGGCAGGAGTATAACTGTAACTGGATCAGCTATTGTATACCACTGCGTTATATAATGATGGCAGCGCATGTGTGTTATTACCACCTGTTGAATTATATTGCATGAAACATGTTTGAACTGGTTGTGGATCTCGCAGTCGTTTCCTGGCATACCAATTGGTTAAAATGCCCTGTTCTGTTCTAAAATAGAGCTACCTTTCGACTTAGGAACAAGGCGTGTAACTAGTTACCTGAGGGCTCTGGTTGTCCATATGTCCTCAGCCAGTGCCTTAAAATGACTCTTACCACTAACGAAGCATCATAGCGTTAACACATTAACACTGTTTTGTTAAGGTATGCCAAATTTAACTGTATTGTAATATGTATTGTCACTTGGGTTGGCGTCGACTTTGTTGTACTAGATGCTTTTACTTCCTTGTCAGTTGGTTCATTGTGTAGCAAACAATTGTCTGTAGCAACAATAACTAATTAAAAGCCTGTGGCTGTCGATCCGTATCCGTAATCCTCTTAACGGGCACCTGTTAGATAAACACCTGAATTGTTTCTATACACGTGTTGTCTTTGTCAGACTGACAATTTTCTGTGTTTTAAGTGGCCCTCAGGCCAATAGTACATGTGCAAAGTTTTAACAGTGCATTTATGCGCAACCTGCAAATTTGCGAATTATAGGGACATCAATAAATCAATAGATGCCCATCAACAATTTACATTTTTTCTCAACCTCAATATGTGGTACAACACTAGGGCCACCTTAAACAATACGTCAACTTTTTCTGTGCGAAGCAGCATGCGGATTTTATGTCTTGCCGGCTGGTTGTAGAAAAAAATAAGACTAGTGTTGTGTTTGTGTCTCTGTAAAAGCTGCAACATCAGGTACAAACTTTCGGCTTGGACTCCGAACCGTTGTGGCCGCTATGTTACAGGTGTAGCTTCTACCATACGGATGTAGCAGCCTGTATAGCATTGCAAAATTATGTAAATACATTAAGTTATGCATGTGAGTACCAAAATATTTTGTCCAGCCTCCTTTTGTAAATGTAAAACTTATGTATATTTCGATGGATAACCATATTATATCCTGCATACAGTGTAAAAGGATGACGAGGGGGATATAGCCCAAGTCTTTACTGAATAAAGAATCGAATCGAATCTCACTCATTCCGGTCTTTGTTATCATTACTTATCTGGACTATAATAAAATTATGGGAACTCACTGCTTTAATAATTGTAGCATCATTAGCGAATAAATTATATAAACATCGAAGCAAAAGAACATATTAACTCGAAAATTGGATTTTCCTAAAATCACAAACGTTCCAAACGTTACTGGGCAAAAACAGTCACTGGAAGCTTAATGTTGGAAAACACAAAAATGTTGCATCAAACACATTACCATCGAATAGGCATTTCTGTTTGTTTTCGATCCACCGTCAAACATCCCCGTTGGATGCAACGTTCCTTTAACCATCAACTGTCTCATCGGCAGTAGGTGGATTTTACCTGGTTACCATGGATATATGCAAACAAAACATGGTACTTACCCGTGACAGGTGGAAGCGGTGGAAGTGTAGGTGTCAACTGGAAGTGCTTGTCACTCTCACCTTTCAGGTTGAGATTACAGATCAGCCTGTGGGTTTAATAAGCTACTTTGTGACCGGTCTTTGTGGAGATTTCACATGGACGTCGTAATGTTGTGTCACATTATCGCGAAGGCTCCCAATACAGCAATGACTTCCAGAGGATGATGCCTTAAGTGAATGTCATTTGGAAGTTGGCTTGGAATCTGCACAACTGTACACACCAAACCATCTGTACACGTACTCACACTGTGGTTCTGTCAGGGACGGGGTGTATTGACGAAAGGAGGGACAGTCTGACCTTTCAGCTGAACGCTGCAGTAATGGACCCATGAAAACCTGTCATGTGTCGTCCAAAGGCACACCAAAATGTGGGGTTTATTTTCAAATACTACATATATATATATATACCAACTGTAGTAGTGAGTGAGTTAATATTTATCGGCAGTATTTCAGCCATACTGCCACGAGAACAATCAATTAACCTCTGACAATGAACAGTACAAATACTAGAGTATCACAGAGAAGGTATGACTAACATGTAATCATAAAATGATATTATTAAAGAGAACAATACAATATATAAACGAGCTCACCAGCAACTGAAGGTAGATCACCATACTAGGGTGTGGATAGAAGATTAACCCAAGTGTGTGCATGTTGCGTGCCTTTGTAGTGTCGGCGTTGGATGAACCGTAACACATTACAAGCTGGTATAATACACTCTTCTTTCATTTTGATGGTAAACACACAGGTGATTATGTAGTGGGGGTAATCCAGAACACAACACAACATATGAAAGATATCCTATAATTTCACATTGTGATTTGAAAACACATAAAACATTTCTGGCTCATGTTATTTACTTGAATGGTGACATTTAGGATTTCACTTAAACCAGATGTTTTTCGCGAGACCCTTAATCTATTAAAAAACATTAATAATTATTACATATACAGAGCATACTTTCTACAATTACTATAAAGGTGACTGCCCAGATACCACTGCTTGAACGCAGCTTCAAACCCCCATTGAACCCAATATTGTTCAAGAAACCCATATGTGAATGAAATGAATATGTTTGAATCCATATGCAAATAATAAACCCGTACACACTGACCCTACATCAAGCTACCCAGGTCTATGCTGACAAGCGGGAACACGTTTGCTGACTCATCAACGTGGACTATGTTTTGGAGGGCCCGTTTTTTGAGAAACCAGGTCGCTAAAAACAGACCATTTATTCCCTTCTGCATCCACACACAAAGTATGTTTTCTGGTCGTAAATTCATTCCATTTGTCCTGGGTATAGAATCACACTGGTCTGCCACTTATTATGAATAATTGTTGCAATGCAAAATATGTTCCTGTATACAAATCGTCATGATACGAATTACTTCTCAATACATCATCACAATTCTATGTATACCGATACATTGCGATTTGGTACCAAATAAAAACCACTTGTGGGCCAGGACAGGTTAAGGATATATTATACAACAACCCATATCAATACGTCCTTTATTGTAGAAAAGACACTAAACTCCCCAATTTCATGTGCACACTTTTACACGGCCATTGCTGATTGCGGGTCACCTTGTTATGTAGAGCTGGCCGTCACACAAGGGTAGCAAATGCATTGTATAACCAGAACATTTGGCATTCAGTTTTTACACTTGAATAACAGCATCTGAACATGATGTCATTTGGGAGATCACTTTGTTACCTGACACGGTAAAAAGTAAGATGTTTTCCTTCTGCTTTCGGGATTTAGTGCAAATAAGAGGCAAGAGAAGGTTATGCGATTTTGTAACAACCCACTGAACCTAAGTTTGGATTGTCTTTGGTATGAATTGGCTCACAACATTACTGATGGTTACTGCATCTTAACAGAACACCTGTGGAGTCTTTGACCGGACCAGTCTGGTTGTAACACAAAACACTTGTAAAACATTTGCAAAAATACGCACTTTATTTCTGTCAAATGAAACGTTACATAGTTACAATAAAATGGATATGTCAGAACAAGACATAATACAGGCTGGTTGAATGAACATATTACACAGTGAAATATTTTTTTGAAGTATCCACAGAGTATAAGGTAAATCGGAAACAGCAGTGATTTCCTCCGAATGGTGAGCAAAAGATGTAATTGTGGTGTATAAAGAAACCAAACAATATAACGGCAAGAGTTAAAAACCCAAGGGTGGCATCCTTGTATGATCACAACTGACAAAACATACCACGTTCCCGTAATGCACATAATTGTTAGAATGAATAATGCCCGTTTAGGGGTGATGTGATGTATAAAGAATTGTCATCAGATCTGGTGATGTTACGCTGTTCCTCCGTCCTGCTTTGATTCCGTCGTTGGAACGAACACTTTCTGTCTCTGTGCGCCCCGGAAGTGACGCCACAGCATCACGACCACCTTCACCACTAAACACAACGCCGCCATAGCCAGTAGTACAGCTGTGAAGATGGAATTCCTCTTCGCAGGATTCCAGTTCTTAGTGATACTTCCGGAAAGGGCGATAACCACGACGATGTACTCGCTAAAAATATACCTCGTATGTCTGTCCAGTATTGTCAAGTCTGAGATAAAGAAGACAAGAAGTTCAAAGGTCAGGATGCCTAATGCAATGGTGCTTGAAGTACTCTGATCAAACTTGGGATGGTCGCCGTAAGTCAGCGCAGTGGCAACGTTGAGGAGAGTAGCGATGGTGCACCAGGCCCCGTAAAACGCCAGTCCGTTTTGGACAAGTGCTCGGATGAGCCATATCTCCTTTTTTCGATCTTGTTTGATGAGTGTCTCGGTGTGTTCAGCAAGTGCTTTGCATGAGAGACCGATGAGTGTATATATAGAAATAGCGGTGAGTGCCAGGAACACAAAAGCTGCCCACACGAGCTCCCAGCACCATAGAAAGGTCCAGGAAATGACAATAAACCAGTTGAGGATGGAGACACTGAAGAAGGTCGCTGTGAGGAGGGCGGGACTATTGTAGACGTACCCATCGGGGGCACGGCGGCAGATGTTGATGTGGGCGTAGATGGTCCAGATGGCCTGCCATACGTAGATGGCACCCCAGATGCTGAAGGTGGAACCAGAGGGTGTGATCTCGAGTGCAAATTTGTCCGAGATATTTCCAATCGTATTGGGGTAGAGTTCTGAAATATACAGTGAGAGCAGGAAGTCAGTTTTCTGATTTAATGTTGACCACTCATTCTGTTACAACAATGCATTTAATAAACAGCTTATGTAGCATTGGAGTGAGTGAGTGAGTTAAAATCTTCACACCGGCAATATTTCAGCCATATAATGACGAGAACAAAGTTAGTATGTATGATAAATATAAACATTAGCAACGTACCACAGAATTCAAGTCTTAATACTAATCACTGCCAAATCTAAAAATGCAACTCGATAGGACATATATTACCATGAAAACACGGGCTATGGTCCACCAAAAAACAAAGCTAGGCCCCCTTACTGCGGTTCATGGGGACTTACGATACTTCAGCTTCCTGCATGAATCCCCAGCGGATTTAAACCATCTCTTCAGCAACTGGTAGTTGTAAACAATGCTAGCCAGAATTAAAACAATACAATTGAAGCAATAAAATTCCGGTTGTCTGCAGTGTACTATAATACCATTATGCAATCATCAGGGGAGTAATCCTTTTACCATACTTCAACTCCATGAAATAGCAATATACTATAATATAATAATAGTTTTTGATTATATCAACCTCATTTAAAACACATCCATTCAAAAACTACTGATCAATCCTATCTGTTTTAAAACTCTGAAATTAAATGAGAGTTGATTGTGTTAAAGAGATCCTTTAAATTTGAAACTTTGTAATAAATATCCCTTGTGAGAGAAAATTCTGCACGCTCAAGCAAAACATGGTTGACCGTGATTGTCTCATGACAAGGGATAAAAAATGGAGGATCTTCCCCTTTCAATAAATATTCATTTGCATATCTGCTGTGGCCAATACGACATCGTCGTAATATGGCCTCATCAAATCTGGACTGACAGCCCAAGTATGCAGCATTGGAAACGTCCTCCTACACTCTTTGTGACATGGTCTGGACAATAAGATCCAACTTATTACTACTGTTTATTAGCCTGTGGTGTGCAAGAGGTGTAACATTTTAATTGGCTGTGTGGAGTAGCACACCTGTGCCGTACCAGGATTTTCTGTTTGGTTGGATTCCGAGACACCGATCCATGGGTTAACATGTATAGCAGTATACAGGCGCGATGGGTTTTGATACAAGGTTGGGTGTAACTTCCGACTTCCCTTTCGCATGAAGCGGACACGTTTATATAATGGATATGATAAGTACATACTGTTCGAATTCAACGGTACAAGTATATGTATAGTGATACGGACGAGTAGGAAGAAATGGTATACATGTATACCCTTAAACCTCCTATTAAAGGTATGGTGACGACAGAGAACTCCCACGATAAGTAATTTCAAACGCACATGCTTTATACAAACTGTTAATATCTGTTGGATGTTGCAAGTTCGATACTACTGGAGTCATGACAAACAGTAAATAGAGTTGTATGTTGTAAGTTGCAGGTGATAGATAGATAGAGGTGGACAGACAGCCGCTCTGTTTGAACCACATACAATCTTGCCATGTTGTGAAATGAAAATAAATATGTGACCAACGCACTTGTCTCGATACCCAGAAACTCTCTGGTGTTGCCCAGTAGACTGAGGAACTGGTTGGCGATGAACGCCACCAGGTTGCCTACCACCAAGGCAATGAGGAAAGGCGAGTGTCCGGCCATACTGGTCAGTGCTGGAGGGGGCAGCTGCAACAGAAGCATACATATCAAGAAGGTTGCCTTGCAGGGACTCTATCCGTAAAAGACGGGATTTGTCCCCTTATTTAGGTACTTAATATGCGCAACAAAGGTTCAAACTGAGAACAACGATCTGTGTACAGAGGCAACCGATACTCTGTTATGGGGACGTCGTAAGTACATCTGGACGTTATAGCTAAAACCAAAGTGTATATCTACCATTCATCTAAACATGAACAAGAGTCCCAGAAGACTAGTGTTATCTTTTGATTCTACAACATCGCTCATCTACCAAGCGTTTCAGACTTTCTTGTGTTTCCATTTTGTCAGGTTTTCGAAGTATAAGTATGATTGGGCCGGTGAAGCCGGGAACATTCTTGAAAGCAATTTACGATCCATCTGTTATATGGCAATTAGACTGTAGATGATCCACCTGATGTATGACAACTAGATCCACCTGATGTATGACAACTAGACTGTAGACGATCAACCTGATGTATGACAACTAGACTGTAGACGATCCACCTGATGTATGACAACTAGACTGTAGACGATCAACCTGATGTATGACAACTAGACTGTAGACGATCCACCTGATGTATGACAACTAGACTGTAGACGATCCACCTGATGTATGACAACTAGACTGTAGACGATCCACCTGATGTATGACAACTAGACTGTAGACGATCAACCTGATGTATGACAACTAGACTGTAGACGATCCACCTGATGTATGACAACTAGACTGTAGACGATCCACCTGATGTACCTGATGTATGACAACTAGACTGTAGACGATCAACCTGATGTATGACAACTAGACTGTAGACGATCCACCTGATGTATGACAACTAGACTGTAGACGATGTGATGTATGACAACTAGACTGTAGACGTTCACCTGATGTATGACAACTAGACTGTAAACGATCCACCTGATGTATGACAACTAGACTGTAGACGATCACCTGATGTATGACAACTAGACTGTAGACGATCCACCTGATGTATGACAACTAGACTGTAGACAGTCGATCCACCTGATGTATGACAACTAGACTGTAGACGATCCACCTGATGTATGACAACTAGACTGTAGACGATCCACCTGATGTATGACAACTAGACTGTAGACGATCCACCTGTTGTATGACAACTAGACTGTAGACGATCCACCTGGTGTATGACAACTAAACTGTAGACTGTAGACGATCCACCTGATGTATGACAACTAGACTGTAGACGATCCACCTGATGTATGACAACTAGACTGTAGACGATCCACCTGATGTATGACAACTAGACTGTAGACGATCCACCTGATGTATGACAACTAGACTGTAGACGATCCACCTGATGTATGACAACTAGACTGTAGACGATCCACCTGATGTATGACAACTAGATCCACCTGATGTACTGACTGTAGAAGATCAACCTGATGTATGACAACTAGACTGTAGACGATCCAACCTGATGTATGACAACTAGACTGTAGACGATCCACCTGATGTATGACAACTAGACTGTAGACGATCCACCTGATGTATGACAACTAGACTGTAGACGATCCACCTGATGTATGACAACTAGACTGTAGACGATCCACCTGATGTATGACAACTAGACTGTAGACGATCCACCTGATGTATGACAACTAGACTGTAGACGATCCACCTGATGTATGACAACTAGACTGTAGACGATCCACCTGATGTATGACAACTAGACTGTAGACGATCCATCTGATGTATGACAACTAGACTGTAGACGTTCCACCTGATGTATGACAACTAGACTGTAGACGATCCACCTGGTGTATGACAACTAAACTGTAGACACAAACATTCAAACAATGGAAGATCCACCTGATGTATGACAACTAGACTGTAGACGGTCCACCTGATGTATGACAACTAGACTGTAGACGATCCACCTGATGTATGACAACTAGACTGTAGACGATCCACCTGATGTATGACAACTAGACTGTAGACGTTCACCTGGTGTATGACAACTAGACTGTAGGCAGATCCACCTGATGTATGACAACTAGATCCACCTGATGTATGACAACTAGACTGTAGACGATCAACCTGATGTATGACAACTAGACTGTAGACGATCCACCTGATGTATGACAACTAGACTGTAGACGATCAACCTGATGTATGACAACTAGACTGTAGACGATCCACCTGATGTATGACAACTAGACTGTAGACGATCCACCTGATGTATGACAACTAGACTGTAGACGTTCACCTGATGTATGACAACTAGACTGTAGACGATCCACCTGATGTATGACAACTAGACTGTAGACGATCCACCTGATGTATGACAACTAGACTGTAGACGATCCACCTGATGTATGACAACTAGACTGTAGACGATCCATCTGATGTATGCCAACTAGACTGTAGACGATCCACCTGTTGTATGACAACTAGACTGTAGACGATCCACCTGGTGTATGACAACTAGACTGTAGACACAAACATTCAAACAATGGAAGATCCACCTGATGTATGACAACTAGACTGTAGACGATCCACCTGATGTATGACAACTAGACTGTAGACGATCCACCTGATGTATGACAACTAGACTGTAGACGATCCACCTGATGTATGACAACTAGACTGTAGACGATCCACCTGATGTATGACAACTAGACTGTAGACGATCCATCTGATGTATGCCAACTAGACTGTAGACGATCCACCTGATGTATGACAATTAGAGTGGAGACGATCCACCTGATGTATGACAACTAGACTGTAGACGATCCACCTGTTGTATGACAACTAGACTGTAGACGATCCACCTGGTGTATGACAACTAAACTGTAGACACAAACATTCAAACAATGGAAGATCCACCTGATGTATGACAACTAGACTGTAGACGATCCACCTGATGTATGACAACTAGACTGTAGACGATCAACCTGATGTATGACAACTAGACTGTAGACGATCCACCTGATGTATGACAACTAGACTGTAGACGTTCACCTGGTGTATGACAACTAGACTGTAGACGATCCACCTGATGTATGACAACTAGACTGTAGACGATCCACCTGATGTATGACAACTAGACTGTAGACGATCCACCTGATGTATGACAACTAGACTGTAGACGATCAACCTGATGTATGACAACTAGACTGTAGACGATCCACCTGATGTATGACAACTAGACTGTGGACGTTCACCTGATGTATGACAACTAGACTGTAGACGATCCACCTGATGTATGACAACTAGACTGTAGACGTTCCACCTGATGTATGACAACTAGACTGTAGACGATCCACCTGGTGTATGACAACTAGACTGTAGACGATCCACCTGATGTATGACAACTAGACTGTAGACGATCCACCTGATGTATGACAACTAGACTGTAGACGATCCATCTGATGTATGCCAACTAGACTGTAGACGATCCACCTGTTGTATGACATCTAGACTGTAGACGATCCACCTGGTGTATGACAACTAAACTGTAGACACAAACATTCAAACAATGGAAGATCCACCTGATGTATGACAACTAGACTGTAGACGATCCACCTGATGTATGACAACTAGACTGTAGACGATCCACCTGATGTATGACAACTAGACTGTAGACGATCCACCTGATGTATGACAACTAGACTGTAGACGATCCACCTGATGTATGACAACTAGACTGTAGACGATCCATCTGATGTATACCAACTAGACTGTAGACGATCCACCTGATGTATGACAACTAGACTGTAGACGATCCACCTGATGTATGACAACTAGACTGTAGACGATCCACCTGATGTATGACAACTAGAGTGGAGACGATCCACCTGATGTATGACAACTAGACTGTAGACGTTCACCTGATGTATGACAACTATACTGTAGACGATCTGTAGACGATCCACCTGATGTATGACAATTAGAGTGGAGACGATCCACCTGATGTATGACAACTAGACTGTAGACGATCCACCTGATGTATGACAACTAGACTGTAGACGATCCACCTGATGTATGACAACTAGACTGTAGACGATCCACCTGATGTATGACAACTAAACTGTAGACGATCCACCTGGTGTATGACAACTAGACTGTAGACGATCCACCTGATGTATGACAACTAGACTGTAGACGATCCACCTGATGTATGACAACTAGACTGTAGACGATCCACCTGATGTATGACAACTAGACTGTAGACGATCCACCTGATGTATGACAACTAGACTGTAGACGATCCACCTGATGTATGACAACTAGACTGTAGACGATCCACCTGATGTATGACAACTAGACTGTAGACGATCCACCTGATGTGTATGACAACTAGACTGTAGACGATCCACCTGATGTATGACAACTAGACTGTAGACGATCCACCTGATGTATGACAACTAGACTGTAGACGATCCACCTGATGTATGATGTACAACTAGACTGTAGACGATCCACCTGATGTATGACAACTAGACTGTAGACGATCCACCTGGTGTATGACAACTAGACTGTAGACGATCCACCTGGTGTATGACAACTAGACTGTAGACGATCCACCTGATGTATGACAACTAGACTGTAGACGATCCACCTGGTGTATGACAACTAGACTGTAGACACAAACATTCAAACAATGGAAGATCCACCTGATGTATGACAACTAGACGATAAACATGAACACTCAAACAAGGGGAGGGTCACACAGCGCCGGCCCAAACCTCGGTGTACCCTAGCTGTCTTGTTCTACTACATCTGTCACCAGGCAACGAATACGGGATCGATGTGGCCCTTACAGAAGCAGATTCGTCTCGACATTCACAGCTAAAATTCAAAGATATTTAATCGATATTACTAAAACCAAAGTGTATATCTACCATTCATCTAAACCTGAACAAGAGTCCCAGAAGACTAGTGTTATGTTTTGATTCTACAACATCGCTCATCTACCAAGCGTTTCTGACGATGAATAGCCAGCAATTACGTTGAACAGGAGTTATCACAGATTAGTTCAATTAGCTTAAATTCTGACACATTACTAGTTCCATTAGTTTAAATGATAAAATATACAGACATTTCTGTTTACTTACGGCAGAATGCTGTTTAGCTCTTCAACGTGTCCACCGAGTACCTCTCTCCCTTCTTATACAACAAAGCGCTCGGGTGTTGTGGCACACAGCCAATAACGTGGATGAAAACGTGAGAAATATACGGGCTAGCCTGGAATGAATCCACTTAATCCATCGGCAAACCAGTACTGAAACAGTGTACTGAAGGGAGGTAACTACAGTAGTTGTGAATTCATTCAAGCGCATCAAGCGCATCAAGCGCAAGGGCAAATTGAGGCATTCCGACAGTGTGCGAATGGGTTTTCGCTCGCACCTCACCTTTGCACTTTCGTAACGAAACATGATGGCGCTCTGGTCCGAGGTACGAAATTGTGAATAAGGAGCACGGGCGAGCGTATGGCAAGCCGTTTTCACATGTATTAAGACATAAAAAAGGATATCTTTAATTGTTTTATAGAAAATATTATCTGTATTCTTTTCAAAGATATCAATAATGATGTCTGTAAATAATTGAAGATATATTTAATTATTTTCTCATTTCTGATATCCAAACTAGAATTACTGATATCTTAAAATGTTATTGAGATATCAAGAACATGGTTCTTAATATCTATAAATGTGTTTCAGATATCAATAAAACAATTCCATAATGTATATAAAATTGATTGAAGATATCTTCAATTCAGTCCAAGAATGTATGCATATCCACAAACGCAGTACATATATCTTTCATTCAAGTCTGGCCGTTACTAATATCTAAAATCAACTTAAAGGTATCAGTAATAATTTTGAAGATATCTATAATACAAATAGCAGGAAAGAACGGCAAAGACATCTCAATTCAAGATATCTTTAATTCACTTTAAGATATCTCCGATTCAGTTTAAGATATCTGCAATTCAATTCAAGATAACTTTACAACAATTCAAGATGTCAGTAATTTCGCAATACATAGTATATATCGTCGATGTCTTTAATTTATTTCAAGATATTTCCAATTCAATTCAAGATAGCATCAATTCTTTTCAATAAATCATTAATATGCTACATCATATCCTTAATTCATTTCGCGATGTCATGAATTTTGCAATGAATGTTGCAGATTTCTATAATCCTCTTTCGAGATATTTGTAATTCATTTCAAGATATTCTTAAAACAACTTAACATATTAGTATGTCTTAAGAAATGTGAAAACGGTTTGCTATACGCGTGCAATCCCCATAGCAACATTCCTTGTCCGTGAATGTTTATATGGAAGAAGATTGTATTTGAAAATGTGGACCTCTGTAACATTTTGACACACCCTCCCTTTCTTTTGCGTTGTGATATTTTTTTTTTGCTGTGTCACTGTTTTTCTCTTCATGACCCTGACTTAACATCTTTCCGCGCCCTCCTGAAGTAAATGAGCAGCCCTGTTTGGCCTCCACAGTCGGTTGAACTCGTAAATAAACGTTAAACATCTTTACCTAACAGAACACGTGTGATCATGGATCTTGCACAACCGGTTCTAACCAGTTACTCATATATGGGTCTGTTACATATGTTGATCACGTTTCCACACACGAGTAAACACATGGCCTGAACGATGTGAGAATTATACAAGGGAGGCTACTGCTGAAAGTATGTATTGTCGATGGGGTCAATGCAAAGTGGAGCATTGCAATGAGCGTACTACCGAAATGCTTCCAAATGACTAAATGTACATAGCCGAAACACTCAGTTCCCGTTATAACGCGACTTGTTAGCGTGAATAGAGAGACATATCAGATTAGTTACTTGTAAAGTACCAGTTTCATTTACTCCCATAGTGTTTACACAGCTATAGTTCTCACGTGAAAGTGTCACTGAAAGTGTTTTCATTTTTACCCTAAGATTTGTTTACTAATATCAGTTTGAGACTACTTTAAGTGTATATTGCAACAGGACACTAGATGTATAAAGAGCTCAAGTGGAAACTGACTGTATTGCATGTGATGATCGTTAAAGCCGTACCTTGAAATATGCCAGCCTCTTGGCGCCGGTCCCTACATACTCCAGCCTGGGTTAGATAATCCAGATACTGACTATAATCTTAATCCCCATTGTTCTAAGGATTAGTACGGTCCACTGATTTTCATCCCTAAACAGACCTGCAGGCAAAAAGAGAACACCCCGTTTTCTTTGTGACCTGAGGCCAAGCGTGACTTTATGGACACCTACTTTTTGTTATGACTGGATGAGCATCTTTGACTCAATCAATCAATCTTTATTCTGTACTTAAAAGGCCACAGGCCTACAACACATTTATATACACAATATTTACAACTGAGCAGCAGAAAAGCATATGTCAAATATTTACAGATTACAAATTTAAAGCAGATTTTCTATGTATAAATGCAAAATAGATATGCATCTTCGACTCACACACCCCTCCCTCCAGTGAACGCAACCCAACTTTCAATACAGTCTGCGAGTCCGTTCAAGAGGCATGATAAGTTATGTGTGTGAAATTCATAGTTTGATCAAATACGTGAATCTAAATACTGATTCGCTGTTGCAAGTCTAAAACTCACTCTCCGGATATATATAAGTTCAATTAAAACAAATATTGACTTTTAAATTTATTTTGTGTGTAGACTCACTTCACTTATGGCTTGAGCAGTGCATCAAGGGCTGATCGAAAGAGAAACTACTGCGGTTCAGGGGCTGTGAGACGGACTAAGCTGCTGCTACGTGTCTCTAAGGAGATGAGATGAAGAAGCGCTTAAGATCAGTGCACATATATACTTTGTCTATGCGAGCGCGCGTGTGTGATTACATGTATCATGTACAAATACGACATTTGGAATCCGGCTAGACAAAAATAACTTTCTATGATTTCAATGTAAGTATACAGCCATCAGCCTCCTAGATTTCGTTCACCTGATAAAGGAGTGAAAATATTCCTAGAACTGATGTTGACATCCATTAATTTTCACTTCTAAATGTCATTAAAATGTCATGACGTACTGCTGTATTAATATTTTTATTACACAAGTTATGAACATATCCAAAGAATGCATAATGAATTGACTAATGATGCGAGTCGATTCTGTCAACAGTAACTAAGGATGGAACCAGCATCCCGGTTGTTCGGAATACGTTCGCGTCATGTATCACAGTGCATAAGGAGTGAGTGAGTTCAGTTTTACGCAGCTTTCAGCGATATTCTAGCAATATCACGGCTGGTGACACCAGAAATGGGCTTCACACATTGTACCCATGTGGGGATTCAAACCGGGTCTTCGGCGTGGCGAGCCAACGCTTTCTCCACTAGGCTACACCAACGCCCTTGTGCATAAAGAACTTTACGCACACATAGCTTCACATTTATATTAACACATTCTCTACTGTAGACTGTTCTAACGGCCGGAGCCAGCATCCCTCTGTCACAGTCTAATACTCTGCTTCTCAGTGGTGGTCGGAAGTTCATCTCTGTTTCTGTCCGAGTCCCGACAATGTCGCCAAAACATGAGAACCATCTTGGTGATAAAGCATAAGATCGACACTCCCAATAGAACCGCTGTGAAAATAGAGTTTGTCTTTCCCTGCGTCTTGCTATTGTACTGGATTGTTTTGAGAGTGACAACAATTATGCCGTGTGGATGTGAAGTGAAACTTCCGATGTAGAATTCACTAATTAATAACATTATACAGGTTCAGTCAATTAAAGCATATTTTACAGATAAATAATAAAAAAATAAAATATAATGATAAGGAGTCCTGAGACTTTCTTCATTTTCAGAAACTGTGGAAATCTAGACTTGCCACACATTCTAGACTTGCATGGGCTACCTTGGGTATATAGTGCACCCTGGTTATGATGTCCCTGGTAATAATGTCACCCTGGATATAATGCCACGTATTCTCCTGGACAACCTGTGGCATTATAACCAGGGTATACTGTATTTATTTCCGAGTCTGTACAACAGACTACATGTTAACCTTTCACGTTTGGACAGTGCAGAACTTGAGTTGATGTATTGCTGGTCCTTTGACAGCTATATCCTTCTCAATGATGTAATCATAAAAGAAATTCTAACAAATGTAAACATTTTATTTATATCTTTTTACAAAATAATGTGTATATTTCAAAGACTAAACATGTACCCTTTACCCATGTACGAAACATGGTAATCACATTGCTTGGGACGTGTCACCAGCACGTAACACTGTACATAAAGAACGTTACACGCACAAAAGTGCATATTGACATATTGTCATCACTATAAATAGTTCGTTCAGCTGGAACCAGCATCTATTTTACATTCTAATGCTTTGCTTCTCGGTGATGGTCGGAAGTATAATTTTGTTTCTGTCCGAGTCCCGACAATGTCGCCAAAACATGAGAACCATCTTGGTGATAAAGCATAAGATCGACACTCCCAATAAAACCGCTGTGAAAATAGAGTTGGTCTTTCCCGGGTTCCAGTTCTTGACCATACTTCCGGAGAGTGCGACGATGACAACGATATAGGGACTAAACGTATAGCGTGAGTATTTGTCCATAATTGTCCAGTCAGAGAGAGCGAAGACTGTCAGCTCAAGGGACAGGATGCTGAGAGAGATGGTGGAGGAAGTACTCTGGTCAAATTGTGGATGGGAGGTGTAAGTAAGAGCCATTGCAAGGTTGAGGAGTGTGGCAATAGTGCACCATGCACCATAGAAGGCAAGACCATTCTGCACCAGCATGCGCACCAACCAGATGTCCACTTTACGTCCTTGTTTCACCAGAGTGTCGTGGTGTTGTGCCAGTGCCCTGTAGGAGAGTCCTATGCAGATGTAGATGGTGATGAAGACGATGGCGAGGAACACGAAGGCCACCCACACGTGGCCCCATCCCCACACGAAGGTCCAGGTGATGACGCACATCCAGTTGAGGATGGAGACACCAAAAAAGGTCGCAGTGAGGAGGGTGGGGCTGTTGTAGACGTAGCCATCGGGGGTACGTCGACAGATGTTGACGACAGCGTAGATGGCCCAGACAGCCTGCCATATGTAGATGGCGCCCCAGAGGCTGAAGGTGGCTGAAGAGGGCGTGATCTCGAGGTACCGTTGATCCGAGGCATCTTCCATTGATTGGCCGAAAATATCTGAAAGTTACAGTCACTGAGTTATTTTATGTGTCTTTATCTTCCAACAATATACATGTACTTTCAGCCTTCTACATAATGTGAAAACACGTTCGCCATTTCCTGGGTCTGTTTATAGCAATGGGGGTTTTAACAGAAGGAAGATATAGAACAGATACAGAATTATGTGTCCAGAAAATACTGTAAAATCTCAACTACACCTGTTGTTATTTCCCACTGCTTAGTCACATTATGAGGAAACCATCGATGTGAAGCGAGGTATTTATTCTATCTGTACCACTGAGAGGTTAAGGACCACAATCTTGAGTCCTGCACGTTATTTAAGTCTGTCATGAACTTACATCGGATGGTCCTTAACGTATTTTATGTGGTCTATGTCATAGGTGTAATGCCATCTGGCCAAGGGGGTTTGATACAAAGGTAGTTACAACCCTACAAGTGTCGTGTTAAACGACATTGATGACATTAATCAAGCATGTTATCTTGCTGATTCACAGCTTCAGCTGTCATAACCATGAACCCATGAAGATCCGGGTTAGAATTGACCTTCCGTAACCCATGCTTGTCGTACAAGAGGCGACTAACTGGATCGGGTGGTCAGGCTCGCTGACTTGGTTGACACATGTCATCGGTTCCCAATTGCGCAGATCGATGCTCATCCTGTTGATCACTGGGTTGTCTGGTTCAGACTGGATTATGTTCAGTCCGCCGCCATTTAGCTGGAATATTGCTGAGTGCGTCGTAAAACTAAACTAACTCACTCACTCACTCACTCCAAAGAATGAGGTACTTACTTATATCAATGCCCAACACCTCTCTGACTTGGGCCATATTCAGCGCACCAAATAGCTGATTGATGATGAAGAACACAAAGTTGCCAATGGCGAGAGCCATAAGCAGAGGGGAGTGGAACGCCATCTTGTTTCAGCTAATCAGCGGTAAGCCAGACAACTTGAGCTGTTGAACAAAAAGACACTTTTATGAACACATGTAGCAGTGTTATTGTGATTGTCATTTGAATCAATGAGGTTATAGTTGTATCGCCATTAGATTTACCTGTACAGCAGCACTGAGACTGGGGATATGAGCCTGTCACGAAGCATTGCGCCAATGTAATGATTGAGCCGTGCCATGTGCCAGCCAAGTGTTACGTTCAGAGTCATGATGTCATATTCAGAAACCCGTTCCTTATGGCTGTATACAGTTTTGTTTCAGCGTTTCAGTAAGTTTTATCATTGTGCCAATATCAGTTTGTGCCGGAAACTGATAGAAGCCGTTTAGTATTGTACGTCTATTACTTGTTTCTAGAACGTATAAATGACCAAAACAAAAGCACGACAAATTAAAAAAAACCCAACTATACGTCGAGGCATAGCCAGTTTAATTTCTTCATGTTTTCACACGACACTGGCGATTTCTCCGGGAAAAAGGGATCACTCTGGGATATGGTATGCAGAGTGGTTGAACGTATCGCCACTTGACTGACGTGTATGACCATCAGTATTGTTTATGTGTTTCTCATCTCATCCTCGACAAGCAATAGAACGAGCGGACGAAAAAACGACAACCTGAACACATTAAAAATGTTTCTCATCGATTTCGTAAGTTATTTCAACGAATTGCTATGGTTTTGATCTCATGGTAATTATCTGTAAAACATTATAATGTAAATCAAGTCGCTTTGGAAACAATGCTTTTAAGATTTAGATAAAGAAAGATCAGGCTGACCCAGCATTTTATGAATGTGCACGGTAGTTTTCAGCACATCAGGGCATACGATTCCACAGCGTCTGGGAAAACCGAGATGAGAAAGCTGTTTGTATTTGACGTTGGTATTGGAATTCAGGGATGGTGGGAAATAGGAAACAGAAAAATTACGTACAGTCTAACACTGGATCACTACTGTACTGGGATCACCTGACTGTACAGATGAGACACAGGTACACCTGACTGTACAGATGAGACACAGGTACACCTGACTGTACAGATGACACACAGGTACATCTGACTGTACAGATACGGCACAGATACACCCGACAGTACACGGAGAAGCCAGATACACTTATCCAATATAAGCTTATAGGGAACTTGCTACTGTTTGTCCTGACGTAGTCGTAATTATAACAGTCTTTATTTTACATTAAACACGGTTATATTTGAAACATTTTGACATCAACATATTGGGAACGTAAAACAAACAATCAGTATCGAAGTTTTGTTCACTATAATTTTTCACCATTACACACTGGCCAAACATGTCGCTGAACTTACCTTACGCGTCTACCGTGTGGACTCGTTGTGGAAACGTCTCGAGACAACTAAGCGTAACCGCTGTTGCCTTCCTATAAATATCGGGTAAATCATGCGACAACTCGTTTGTAATGAAACATTCTCCACATGGTGAAACACGTGACGCACATATATAACAACACGTGTCTTGAAAACACTCCCCACAGAAGGCAGGCTTGTCGTTATACAAAGGGACATAACTGCTGTAGAAGCTTGAATCAACGGCGATCCAATGAGAGGGTAAATAAACCTGCCGCCTTCGCAGAGGTCCGTGAAGCGGAACATCGCCTAAATCAGTATATGTTTCGTATGGAGAGTTTCTAAAACTGGATTAATCGACATTGTAAATTTTGACACACCAAAATGGATAACAGTTTTAGAAAGACGATATATTCCACAATATGCCACAAAGCTGTATTTATGTTATAAAGGGTCTGATGTGTTTATAAAATATGAACTCACACCACACACATGTTCCTGTTGCGCTTCTAATTACGTACTTCAGTAAATGTGTGATATTGAGTAAGGTTTTCTTCGTAGCTCCTCCTGCAATGCATCTTCTTATAAGAACTGTTATGTTTGTATTATCAAGATGCGCAATGTCACAGTCTCGAAACTAAGATATTCTGAGCTAGGAATCCACATCAGTATTTCACGTTGCTACTGTACCCCTGTAGGTGTTCATCCTACCGCCATTATTGCAATGTAGCACCGCATGGTACAATTGTTGCTTTGTGCATAGCGTTTAAGGAAATATTGTTTTTAGTTTTAAGGAGATTTCGAATTTAAAGACCTATGATAATTGTGAAGTTCTTGACACATGTCATCGAATACCAATTGCGTAGATCGATGATCATGCTGTTGATCACTGGATTGTCTTGTTCAGACTCAATTATTAACAGACCGCTGTCATAATGTTGAAATATTGCTGAGTGCGGCGTTTAACAACAAACAAACAAACAAACAAAGTTGTCGGGTGCTGACTGAGCCACAGTGCTGTTCATGTTTTATGCGATATTGTCAACTTATGATGGTATTATTTGAAAATCGAACACAAGAATAAACTGTAAGGTTTCGTTTCCTTCGGTCTTCAGTTTTAATATAATGTAGATTTCGCATTATACATTTATATGACTTGTCAAACACAGTAACAACGCATTCTGTTTAATAGCATACCCTGCGTCTTGCTATTGTATTGGATTGTTTTGAGAGTGACAACAATTATGCCGTGTGGATGTGAAGTGGAACTTCCGATGTAGAATTCACTAATTAATAACATTATACAGGTTCAGTCAATTAAAGCATTGACGGCTCCCGCTACTCTGAGTTTGGTGTGACGGATCTTCCTGTAACTGTGGTCACCGTGTTAACTAGACCAACAACTAGTCTCTGAAATGAACATATTTTACAGATAAAACAGCTCATAATCAAAAAAATAAAATATAATGATAAGGAGTCCTGAGACTTTCTTCATTTTCAGAAACTGTGGAAACCTAGACTTGCCACACATTCTAGACTTGCATGGGCTACTTGGGTATATAGTGCACCCTGGTTATGATGTCCCTGGTTATAATGTCACCCTGGATATAATGCCACGTATTCTCCTGGACAAACTGTGGCATTATAACCAGGGTATACTGTATTTATTTCCGAGTCTGTACAACAGACTACATGTTAACCTTTCACGTTTGGCCAGTGCAGAACTTGAGTTGATGTATTGCTGGTCCTTTGACAGCTATATCCTTCTCAATGATGTAATCATAAAAGTAATTCTAACAAATGTAAACATTTTATTTATATCTTTTTACAAAATAATGTGTATATTTCAAAGACTAAACATGTACCCTTTACCCATGTACGAAACATGGTAATCACATTGCTTGGGACGTGTCACCAGCACGTAACACTGTACATAAAGAACGTTACACGCACAAAAGTGCATATTGACATATTGTCATCACTATAAATAGTTCGTTCAGCTGGAACCAGCATCTATTTTACATTCTAATGCTTTGCTTCTCGGTGATGGTCGGAAGTATAATTTTGTTTCTGTCCGAGTCCCGACAATGTCGCCAAAACATGAGAACCATCTTGGTGATAAAGCATAAGATCGACACTCCCAATAAAACCGCTGTGAAAATAGAGTTGGTCTTTCCCGGGTTCCAGTTCTTGACAATACTTCCGGAGAGTGCGACGATGACAACGATATAGGGACTAAACGTATAGCGTGAGTATTTGTCCATAATTGTCCAGTCAGAGAGAGCGAAGACTGTCAGCTCAAGGGACAGGATGCTGAGAGAGATGGTGGAGGAAGTACTCTGGTCAAATTGTGGATGGGAGGTGTAAGTAAGAGCCATTGCAAGGTTGAGGAGTGTGGCAATAGTGCACCATGCACCATAGAAGGCAAGACCATTCTGCACCAGCATGCGCACCAACCAGATGTCCACTTTACGTCCTTGTTTCACCAGAGTGTCGTGGTGTTGTGCCAGTGCCCTGTAGGAGAGTCCTATGCAGATGTAGATGGTGATGAAGACGATGGCGAGGAACACGAAGGCCACCCACACGTGGCCCCATCCCCACACGAAGGTCCAGGTGATGACGCACATCCAGTTGAGGATGGAGACACCAAAAAAGGTCGCAGTGAGGAGGGTGGGGCTGTTGTAGACGTAGCCATCGGGGGTACGTCGACAGATGTTGACGAGGGCGTAGATGGCCCAGACAGCCTGCCATATGTAGATGGCGCCCCAGATACTGAAGGTGGCTGAAGAGGGCGTGATCTCGATGTACCGTTGATCCGAGGCATCGCCCACAGACTGGCCGAAAATATCTGAAAGTAGCAGGAAAGTTAACATCATGCATGTGGGAAAATATATTGTAATTTATCTTGTGGATAGACTAAATAATTTTGAAATTCAGGTTCGGCTTCTTTGTCTATAATATACTCATTGTAAAGTGCAAAAAGATTCCACAATATTATGCCAATAATTCATTTTAACAGACTTGACAATATTCTTCATCTGTCAAAATATGTGTATTTGATTCACAATTAGAACCCAATTTCAATGTTATAGGATACCATGATGCATGTGCAATGTAAGATAACTATATAATACGCACGCGTGGAACATGGGACATATGGCCTTGTAAACAATAAACTGGGCTTGACTGACTGAATGGAAAATGACTTTTTGGATGAAATATACGTCGCTGAGTCAGCACAGCCAATTCATTGTCGACTGATACACACTGGTGCATTCCTTCAATCATATGACACTTACTAGTATCAATGCCCAGCATTTTTCTGAATTCCTCCATGTTCAATGCACCCATTATCTGATTGATGATGAAGAACGTCAAGTTGCCTGTGGCGAGGACGATGAGTAGTGGGGAGTGGGACGCCATCTTGAGTCAGGGACGTCTTAATCTCGATGTTTTCTGAAATTTAAATATCACGCATTACTTCCGTTTGCTATTAAGCGAACTATACTCATGAGGACAAATACCGTAACATATTGTGAACACTGGGTGTGCAACTAGTGTACTCGACTGAATAATTGCCATAACGGTTTATATTCACATCAAGGTGTATTCTGAGTGATTGACTCAGATATTGATTAATGACAAGATATATCACACCCACAGACAGACCGACAGACAGGCCGACATACAGGCAGACGTAGACAAACCAGAGACCATAAATAATCTTTGGACAAACATGAACACAATTCAATATTAATCCCCAATACACTGGTAAAAACTAAAACAGTATTGAAAGGAACCTAGGTTATTTGATAAGCTACATGTCAGAAATAACCTCACCTTATGTATCAGAGCCTCCAGCAGCAAGGTCTCCAGACAACAGATGCGCTGCGGCAGTTTCCGACTTATAAAGCTGCTGGTTACACAAGCGGGTTCTGCTCGTTATCAAACACTCTCCGCGTGGTGGGAAACGTGACTAAAAACTAAACACACCCGTGTAAGCAAACCCATACCGTCACGTGTGGGGACGTTTGGTGGGTGTACGAAGGGACATAATTGCTGTGTGCTCAGGAACACAACACAAAAGCCCCAGGGAAAGCCAGACCTGTTGTTGAACGACCAGTGTGACCTGAGCGTGGCCGACGTATAGCAGGTTCCCACTCCAGGCCACTGGCTGCGCCATTCACTGGGGTGTAGTCAGTGGAGTAAAACGCCACCAGCCAAACAGGGTCAACTGGTATTGCATGGGGCAATCTTGTATCAGGTCTGCTACATTCAGTAAAAATTCATGGACACATTCACATGATTTGTTGACCATGTACATGATCCATATTCATTAACGCAAGTCAGGGTTGCTAAGGCGAAAACGTATTGCCGTCATTAGTAGTTAATATTTGGTAAGGGATATGTACATAATTATATATACGTTTTACCCTGAGTTACCTACCCTCTGGGGTTTTCTCGACCTCAGTTTTCATCTCTTGATTATTCTTTTCATAATCTCTCGGCACTATTTTTATATGAATACACAATACGATTTAGAAAGTGGTCAAATGTAACACATGGGTTTTGGAATAACACTTTCTCAGTAAAGTACATATTTTAGTACTTTCATTGGGTTGAGTCCCATCCGGGATTCGAACCCACACCCTTACAGACAGGCACCTAATTGCCAGCAAAGTCAGCAGTCTAACCCTGATGGTGTGGCTTCGAAAACGTGTAATCCCAAATATACTGAACAACATTAGAAACGCACCACACTAAAATGCACCGACGATAATCAGATATCATGGGTACTTTTCAATAAGACGGGGTTTATTTCGTATGCCATGGGTGGTGCGTTTCTAATGTTGTTCAGTATATACCATGTGTTACAGTATTTGTACTAGTCTCTTGGCATCACTAATTTCCTTACCTTGTTGACAATGTAATATGTTTCCGAATATCAATACACAACAGAAATATTGTTTTTTTTATAGAGAACGTATGAATCTATGACAGTGTATGACGTTCAAAGACCAAGTTAACAAGACATCAATGCTAAACATTTTCTTTGCATGTACTTCATTAATGGCTATATTGTACGACAGCATCATGTCGCCAACAACAACATGCTCTATCGAAACAATTGTCCCTATCAGGAACCATGTTGATATAATGTAAACCATCTCCTGTGTCTATTTGATGCAGCCAGCAAACATTCGGTGTATACCCTCTTATCATAAACCCCCTCCGGACAGGACCCTTAATTACCAACGCTATCTATAAATATTAGTTAACACCTCCTTTCGTCGGTCGATCTTACCTATGCTGATGTGTGTTGGTCAATGAGCTTGCACCACATGGCGAACTATCTACTTCAATAAAACCTGATTGACATGGTCAATCAGGAAGATCGGCTCAGATCACCGACAGAAGCGGACGAAGAGTGCAGCCGTGAAGGTCAAGGTAGCCGTCTCACCTACAGCAACGTCTGAGTGTAAGTGAACACCGGGAACATTGACCACGTGATGCTAGTCTGACTCACAGTCTCCGAGCCGAGACGCATTATTTTCCCTTCTGCTTAGCCCTTATTGCAGTGATAAAGCCCTTAATGAGTAAGTCTAGATTTCCCCAGTTTCTGAATCTCCCATCTCACTGGGGCTCCTGTTCAAATTTTAAGGGAATTGTTTGTTTCCATCAAAATGATACATATTGAGAGACTAAGCGTTGGTCTAACTTTGTCCCGTTGTACCTCTGAACACTTTCCGCAACATGGTTGCTGTCGTCATAAACCTTTCACCTTTTGTTTTCCGTCATTATCAGCAACAATAGAAACTATGTTCATCCATTCATGTTCCAACAATATAGCGTGGGAGAAAATCGCATATGTGGCTGGAGCATATACATAGTTGTGTAACAGTGATAGAACGTCGTCAGTGTACAATATACATAGTTGTGTAACAGTGATAGAATGTCGTCAGTGTACAATATACATAGTTGTGTAACAGTGATAGAACGTCGTCAGTGTACAATATACATAGTTGTGTAACAGTGATAGAACGTCGTCAGTGTACAATATACATAGTTGTGTAACAGTATAGAACGTCGTCAGTTGTTGTAACAGTGATAGAACGTCGTCAGTGTACAATATACATAGTTGTGTAACAGTGATAGAACGTCGTCAGTGTACAATATACATAGTTGTGTAACAGTGATAGAACGTCGTCAGTGTACAATATACCTAGTTGTGTAACAGTGATAGAACGTCGTCAGTGTACAATATACATAGTTGTGTAACAGTAATAGAACGTCGTCAGTGTACAATATACATAGTTGTGTAACAGTAATAGAACAGTCGTCAGTGTCGTCAGTGTACAATATATACATAGTTGTGTAACAGTGTATTAGTAATAGAACGTCGTCAGTGTACAATATACATAGTTGTGTAACGGTGATAGAACGTCGTCAGTGTGTACAATTAATGAAGAACGTATACAATATACCATGAGTTGTGTAACGGTGATAGAACGTCGTCAGTGTACAATATACATAGTTGTGTAACAGTAATAGAACGTCGTTAGTGTACAATATACATAGTTGTGTAACAGTGATATGAACGTCGTCAGAACGTCGTAGAACAGTCGTCAGTACAATATACATAGTTGTGTAACAGTGATAGAACGTCGTCAACAATATACGTTAGAACGTCGTCAGTGTACAATATACCTAGTTGTGTAACAGTGATAGAACGTCGTCAGTGTACAATATACAGTGGTTACAATATATATGAAACAGTAATTGTGTAACAGTGATAGAACGTCGTCAGTGTACAATATACCTATAGTTCGTTAACAGTAATAGAACGTCGTCAGTGTACAATATACCTGGTTGTGTAACGGTGATAGAACGTCGTCAGTGTACAATATACATAGTTGTGTAACAGTGATGGAACGTCGTCAGTACCTAGTTGTGTAACAATAAGCGCACAATTCACAACGTGCTGTGAAGTAATAGAACGTCGTCAGTGTACAACAAGCATAGGAACAGGTAGAACGTCGTCAGTGTCAAACGGCTATAGGAACGTCGTCAGTGTACAATATACCCTCCGAAAATCGTCAGTGTACAATATACATGGTTATTGTAAGTGTACAATATACATAGTTGTGTGTAACAGTGATAGAACGTCGTCAGTGTACAATATATATACATAATAAAACTGAAAAAGTAGGTAAATATATAATGCAGCACAGCTGCTTTTCGGATCAGACCAAGTTTCTTGTCGATGAACCTTATAACGTCGCATTTGACAAGCCGAATTTAATAGAGTGTCGTTGAGGCAGTGTTGCTTGAAAGCACTGCTTGAAATGTACGAGGGTTGATAAAAAAGTACGTAGCCTAACTATATAAAATCTCGATGTCCAATGTTTGAAAAGCTTCCATTTTATTTTGAAGGAATCGTTAGCAAAGCCATATCCAATATTTCACATGTGTGTGTAATGTGGTTAACCAGATATTTGTCATCACAACACATTGGGGTATAATATTTCTAACAAAATTGCAGAAAATGAAAAACGACTTGTCTTTTGGTACCTCTTGGATAATGGTATGCCTTCAGCTAATGTCATACAAAATATGTTCAGTATAGTATTGGATGACTTCCCGTCATGATCAACCGTCAAAAATCCGGATTGCCTGATTTGTATTTAGTCGGGCCATGATTTTTGAGGACACCCCCATTTTAATCTTTCAAAACATTATGTCCAGATATTCAAGCTGGCACTGTGTACAATATGTGAGCTGACACTTGTGTGAACATTCAGTATTTAGTTTGAACCCTTGGCATCATGTATGCACAAGTGAAAACATTAGAATAAGCTATGCCCTAATGATTACGTCATCTGAAAGGGGGATGGGTAGTGTCTCCAAAACAAGCTCTCTCAGTCAACATGAAGGGGGGCAGTCACTTTAACAAGCGATTTAATTTCAAATTGCTTTAATATCTAAGTGTGATTCTAGGGGACTTCTATCAATCTCAACACACCAAATATTTCTTGTATATTTTGTTTCCTGAAGATTTTGATGCATTTATTGTCGATTTTGCGTTTTTTGAGGGTACAAAGATAAACGGTCAAACAAAATGGGGATCGTGAGACTGGAACATAGCAAAACCAAATTGCTTGAGCTTGACAGGTAATAAGTAGAAAATTAAAAACATAAAAATAACTGCATTTGTATCGTTTTCTTGGTGATTCTACATACCTTTTGTTCGCCCCTCGTATACAGAGGATATATCACTAAACATTTCCCAACTGTAAACTCAGGACGGTTCACTTCTTCTTTCAGGCACACAGACAAATCATAGTGTGGTATTTGAAAATATTTTTTTTAAAAACGACAGAACACGTATCTGTATCAGTTGTTAATGTTATATTTATTGTCGTTGTTTGAATAAGATCACACCTTCAAATATATCTATCAAACGACGATTTTAGTCTTAGCGTAATCGTCAATAACTCCAAGAGAAAGGGAAGAGTGCGATTGAGTAAAAATTAACTATTTACAATAAACATAAATACAGGTAATGATCGACGCCAATCAAGCGAAATAAAACTATTTGTACATAAAATGACAGTTTTAAACGGTTGCCAGCACGTAACTCAAGCGTTTTGAACAGAGGTAATCTTGCACGAAGCGAGACGTGGATACGACACAACACAGCTAGATACAGTCACTGTCAGTCTAACTCGCTTATAGTGGGTGCACTGAATGACTCTTCGATCAGCTGATCCGTGCGAGTTTTCTTCGCTTGAGGTTGGTCATCCGATGCCCAGGCTTGCTGTCCACAGGAAGTAGTTCCTGGCCAAGTGATATCTACACATAAATGTCTGTCAACGCTGTGAAAATATCATTTAATAAATGTCAGTCTTCAACACTTAGCTATAAACATTACTCCCAAGCTTTTAACTTGGTCGGGGAAATGACTGGTGGTGCAAACGTATCCAATGCTACTGACTTTGGTACATTGGTACATGTATGTGTTTCGTTGTAATCAATTACAACAATAAATGTATACAGGGATTTCAAAGCTCAAATGTTCCTCATCCAAGTGACTTCAGTCTACAAGATACAATAATTAGTCAGGCTAATTTGTCTATTTTCCTGGTGTCGCATATATATTCCATTACAGTATTTCTGTGGATGAGGTAATGTTTGGAGACGCCACATAAAAACGCACAGAATATGTATCCTGAAAGAGAGCGAGGATACACACTGGTAGTCATGGTAACCATACTCGCAAGGCATCAACATTCATGACACGACACACGAACTCTCAATGTCACAAAAACAGGGTGTTCCTTTTGACCAATTTCTCAACCTCCGTGTGTTTTCGTCAAGTCTGTCATTTTTCTTCCAGTCAATCATGGGACATTCCTCGAACGGTTCTGGCACAAAAGAATCATCGCAATTTATTATCAACAACCTTTTACTCAGGCGTTCTGTTCTCGAAGCTGCGTGGATAATGTGCTGCAATTCAAACCGATTGTTGAAGCCATTTTGTATGTATTCCTGTGTCAGTATGACAAGAAAGAGTCTGCTTGTATTGATGGCATTCACACTTGTGGGCATTTTGAGCTGGCCTATCAGTATGTCCCGACATGGTACGAAGACCTTGTTTCCTGCAGATTCCAAGATGGTCGTCAACTGACGACCAGCAGCCTCCTCAGTCTCCGGATGGGCTACAAACACGTCATACTTCGGGGCTTCACTGTCTTCCTTGTTAAAACAACCGAGGGTTTCCGCGGTTTTCACACATCTCTTACATGGATAAAACGATCCTTCTAATATCTTATTTCTCACTGGAATCACAAGGCAGGTTGTCGTGAGCTTGGCTGTAAGCATAGCAATACCGACGAACACAAGAAATATTGAAATCATTATTGGTCCCTCAAATGTAGTTAAGAACCACATTATCCAGTCAAGGCCAGCCTCGTCGTTTTCGCAGTAATCATGCAGTAGCTGTTTCTTTGGTCTAATCCAACACGGCTCTTTGGCAATTGGGTCCGGGATGTTTGTGAAGTTGTAGAAGAAGAGGTCAGGCGTTCTTGGATGCAGAAGGATTGTGTGTGGATATTTCACTTCCCTTATCTCCTCTCGTCGTGATGAAGCGTTGTAGATTGTTCGAAAAAACGAGAACTCGTGATAGTGGTATGTGTTCTTACAGACACATTGCCATCCTGTGCCCGTAACTGAGTTTCGCATGCGAAGACTTCCTGATCTTGTGAAAAATAGATCATTGTGACCTCCATTATGCCAGAACTCCCAGTACAGCAACACTGTTATGGAACAGCCTGTAAATATGTTTCCACAAACGATGTCGAATGGATCCCCACCAATTGTGTAGTGAAATGATACATCGTCTATGTCTCCTAGGTTGTCGTATGTGGCAGTAAAGGCCACCAAGCCACCAGGCGGGGCGTAGACATTACGGGTAAGCGCTTTCATCTGGACAAGGCTGAAAAGCATCACAGTTTCGTACTCATGATCTTTTGGAGGTTTTCTTCCGGTTATTCGCAGAATGGGTTTTGGGGGCGGCGGTGGTTCACATAGACACAAACAGATGCATGGAGGAGGTTCTTCTAGGGGACACATAGGTGGTTTTGGTTTCCTGAAGACAATAGATATTGCAGTCTCTTTCACCTTGCATGAATAGTTTCCAAAGTCAGTTTCGTCGATGAATATTATTGTCAGTTTAGAGACAATTGTGTACTGATTGCGCTCATTATCACCCTTGCCATCAGTGACATTCTCGAAGGTCCAGGTAATGTTTATATGGTCTGAAGAGTGCAGAGGTTTGCCATCTTTCTCCCAAACTACTTGATCTGGCCAGGGAACGACTTCCCCTTCATACGTCTGTAGATGATGGCACTCAAACACAACGTCTTCCCCGGGATATTTGGTGTGCTCTTCAATACTGAATGGGGCATAATCGGTTCTGTGTCGCTGGTTAATAGGAGGCCTGATTTCATCTATCTCAACAACACTGCCACGGATTCTTCCTACTAGCTTCTGCTGCAGGACACTGACCATGGCCGTGAAGCCAGTGTCTAATCCATAGACGATGACACAACTCAAACCACATATAAAACACAAATATAACACAACCTTCTTTAAGCCATATCTTTTAACGAACGCCCCGACGCCGGCAATGCACAGCCTCAGAATGCTCAAACCGCTGTGGTAGATGGCGTAGGTTGACACAATGATGTCGAAGGTGGCAAGTTCAACAGTGTCGCGGGACAACGCCCTCTCTTGACGCAGCTGCCACAACACGAGCCCCAGGTGCAGGAGCAACCAGGACAGGATGATCCAGTTGCTGTATGACACGGGTTTGGGCGTTAGGAGGTCCATAGCAGTAGTCCACCTGCAACATAAATAGCAGGGATTTATAACTGCGTTGGTGTCATGATTTACTGATATACTCGCTGATGAACATATTTGAACTATTTTTCAATATTCGCTGTTTTCACATTCTGGGAATTACTGACATTACTCGAAGATTTCTCATTCTATGAATTACTGACATTACCCGCTGATTCCTCATTGTGTGAATTCCTGACATTACTCGCTGATTTCTCATTCTATGAATTTCTAACATTACTCCCTGATTTCTCACTCTTCCAATTACTGACATTACTCGTTGATTTCTCATTCTATGAACTGCTGACATTACTCGCTGATTTCTCAATCTATGAATTAATGACAGTACTGGTTGATTTTTCATTCTATGAATTACTGACATTACCTGATGATTTCTCATTCTGAGAATTGCTGACATTACCCGCTGATTTCTCATTCTATGAATTACTGACATTACTGGCAGATTTTTCATTCTATGAATTACTGACATTACCTGATGATTTCTCATTCTGTGAATTGCTGACATTACTCGCTGATTTCTCATTCTATGAACTACTGACATTACTTGCTGATTTCTCATTCTATGAATTACTGACATTACTCGCTGATTTCACATTCTATGAATTAGTGACATTACTCGCTGATTTCTTATTCTATGAGTTAATGACATTACTCGCTGATTTCTCACTCTTTGAAGTACTGACATTACTCGCTGATTTCTCATTTTGTGAATTTCTGACATTACCCGCTCATTTCTCATTCTATGAATTACTGACATTACTCGCTGATTTCTCACTCTTTGAAGTACTGACATTACCCGCTGATTTCTCGTTCTGTGAATTACTGACATTACTCGCTGATATCTCAATCTGTGAATTACTGACATTACTCGCTGATATTTCATTCTGTGAATTCCTGACATTACCCGCTGATTCCTCATTCTATGAATTTCTGACATTACTCGCTGATATCTCACTCTTTGAAATACTGACATTACTCGCTGATATCTCATTCTGTGAATTCCTGACATTACCCGCTGATTTCTCCTTCTGTGAATTATTGACATTACTCGCTGATTTCTCATTCTATGAATTACTGACATTACTCGCTGATTTCTCGTTCTGTGAATTACTGACATTACTCGCTGATTTCTTGTTCTGTGAATTACTGACATTTCTCGCTGATATCTCAATCTGTGAATTACTGACATTACTCGATGATATCTCATTCTGTGAATTCCTGACATTACCCGCTGATTTCTCCTTCTGTGAATTATTGACATTACTCGCTGATTTCTCATTCTATGAATTGCTGACATTACTCGCTGAATTCTCATTCTATGAATTGCTGACAGTACCCGCTGATTTCTCATTCTATGAATTACTGACATTACTCGCTGATTTCTCGTTCTGTGAATTACTGACATTACTCGCTGATTTCTCGTTCTGTGAATTACTGACATTACTCGCTGATATCTCAATCTGTGAATTACTGACATTACTCGCTGATATCTCATTCTATGAATTCCTGACATCACCCGCTGATTTTTCATTGTATGAATTACTGACATTACCCGCTGATTTCTCCTTCTGTGAATTACTGACATTACTCGCTGATTTTTCATTCTATGAATTGCTGACAGTACCCGCTGATTTCTCATTCTATGAATTACTGACATTACTCGCTGATTTCTCGTTCTGTTAATTCCTGACATTACTCGCTGATTTCTCATTCTGTGAATTCCTGACATTACTCTCTGATATCTCATTCTGTGAATTCCTCACATTACCCGCTGATTTCTCATTCTATGACTTATTGTCATTACTAGCTGATTGTTCGTTCTGTGCATTACTGACATTACCCGCTAATTTCTATTTCTGCGAATTTCTGTTTTGCCGATACCATCCTTATAAGGCCATCATCACCCACAAGTATTCCATGTTGCATAGTTCAACCTCGGATCGTATGATCATGTGTTCGATCACCGGTTTCTCCCTGATTTTGAAACATTTCCTTTTGCTTTAAATGTGAGCGTCCGCTCGTCACGCCGAAGACCCGGGTTCGATCCCCCATATGGATACAATGTGAAGCCCATTTCTGGTGTCCCCCGCCGTGATATTGCTGGAATATTGCTAAAAGCGATGTAAAACTAAACTCGCTAGGTCACTCCTGGGTCTCCATGTACCATACCCGTACGCGTGGCTTTCGACGAAGTGGTAAATTTGTGAGAGATGCATCCCTTTAGGCGTATAACACAGTGTGATATACTTGATTACTGATGGCATGGTGTTAAATCGATCTCACAAACAGCATCACCTCCTTGCCCCACTCGGGAACAGCTTAACGGGCGCCTAACGTACTACTTGCGGCGTAAAACAACATTCCCTGAATCAACCTCTACACGACCTTCAACCTCACACAGGGAGGATACTGTAAACAGCTACACTTGTCTTAATGCAACTACTTCAAGTATATTGTTTACATGCATACAGATATAAATGATAACTGTTTACATGCATACATATATAAATAATAACTGTTTACATGCATACACATATAAATAATAACTGTTTACATGCATACAAATATAAATAATAACTGTTTACATGCATACATATGTAACTAATAACTGTTTACATACATACAAATATAAATAATAACTGTTTACATGCATACAGAATATAAATAATAACTGTTTACATGCATACAGATGTAAATAATAACGGTTTACATGCATACAAATATAAATAATAACTGTTTACGTGCATACAGATATAATAAAAAAATGTTTACATGCATACAGATATAAATAATAACTGTTTACATGCATACAAATATAAATAATAACTGTTTACATGCATACAGATATAAATAATAACTGTTTACATGCATACAGACATAAATAATAACTGTTTACATGCATATAGATATAAATAATAACTTTCTACAACATGCCCAGTGACGGTACAAACTGAGGGAAGAAACCATAGAAACATTAGCGGAATATTGCCTTGGCTGCACATAGCGCGGTTAACCTCCATTTCCCACACAATGCATGTCAATTCTGCTTGACGCTGGCCTTCACGGTCGCTCTAGGTGTCATATATAATGTTGTATAGCATGTTTTCATAAGTACTTAGACTAACGCGTAGTCTCGGATTATCAATACTTTTGATAGAAACAAATAATCCCATTTACATGGAAAAGGGGTCCCAGTGAGATGTGAAATCTAGACTTGCTTCGTTTAGGGCTTTAGCATTGTAGGACTGGGCAGTTGGGAAAATGATGCAGTTCAGGGACTGCGAGACAGATTAATTAGTACTCAATACCATGATATGTCGGTACTTCGTAGCACAATGTATGACATTTCAAGCATTTCATGAACTGACATATATTTCTTGACATGATGCAATCACCCCGCGCATCATATGACGATTTCAGTTTCGCTCCCTGTTTCGCTCACCAGCGATCTGTGAGAAAACATACCATGGTGCAGGTGTTAACTGATGCATGTGTAAACATAGCTGATGCAGGACCATTCACAGACTGGCATAACACAACGCAAAACTGCTAGAGTATCACAAACGCCCATGTCTCACCTACCCGTTGTTGTAGATCGTCCTGTCTGATGGATGTATTCCGAAACAACGCCTCGTCTGATCAGAGACCAAGCACAACAGTCACTCTATACGTAGTGGCAACCAAGGTAATACATGTTGTTGTTGATGATGTTCTGTAATCTTTACAGAATACTGTCTGTCCGATACTGTCTGAGGTCATATCAGCCTTCCCAGAAATTACGTCACTGTGGCAAAACCCGACTTAAATAGCTATGCTTATATATTCTCAACATTGATATCATAGCAAGGTAGATAACTGTCGTTGGAGAAATGGGATTTCCCCCAGATTCTTGGAAACTGTAGGTCATGATGACATTATGCTCTCACTGAATGCAGCAGTTGCAATAGATTCTATGAACTGTATTTCTCATGATGGCTCTACAAACTAGAACAAACTCAACACTAAGTGATAAATAGATGTCGAGGCCTTGTAAAGATAAATCTATAAATAGTATCGGCGCCCGAGAGCAGCTGTTTGGACTTCGGATTCCGATATTAGCCGAACATGCCCAGCCGTGCAGCTGACAGAGAACATCTTCATAGTGACAAATGAAAGCGTCAGAGTAGTCGGAGACTGCTTGGAGCAGAACGGATAGAATTGTACCGCGACCATTTATTTTAAGGACGCTTCGATGACTTTATTTATCAACGTGAGCAGGGCACTGACAAGAATATTTTACCTTCCGAATGAATGAATGAATGCACGGCAGATGAAAAGAGAGGGCAGTCTAATACAGTTTTTAAACATTCCTCACTCTGCTGTGTACAATAATCTAAATATGTGTGTCAGTTTTAAGTGACACCACAGCTTGGGTCAAGACGTCCGCCTCTCTATGACGTAATCAACAGACGTGCTGCTACTCTTGTGCTCATACATTCAGTGTGGTCTGCTGACAACATGGTTTAGAAGAAGAATGAAGAATGAGGACCTTCTAAAATGCCAATCAAAGAAAACATGGTTTAGAAACTGGAAGATAAGTGAGGGTCCTTTGGTATCAGTACAGACAGAAGAACTCTTGAAATCCTTCTAAGGGCAGCATTTCTTTGTGCATCACGTATCCTCCATGACCTAAAGCCGTGGGCGATTCGAAAAAACGGGAATTAAAACATCTTGACTTTTTCATATTTACCTCAGAATAGAATACTTTCATTATGCTTTATGTTGCCTGTTTAAGAGAGATTGTAAAAATTCTACATCTAAAATAAGAAAAGACCTGTCTGATCTTTTTATGATCTGTGATTATTGGTATTCGGGAAATAAAAACATCCACAGCTAAATAATTCATTTTCAAATTTACAGATTTTGAAACCATGTCACAGATGGTAGTAGAGCAGTAGAGACCATCGCAATAGACCGAATCAGATGTTACTGTTACTCATCGGTCATGTAAAGCAAAAAGAAAATACTACAAAAGACACTTCATTTCATGCCTAACATAAGAAGATTGCAACTGAAAGGGTCGTCGGCTGGTCAGGAGTACGAGTCGGTGGAATTTATAACAACGTTTATTGTATTTTCGGGTCGGCGAGCACTATGGCATCATGTAGCGTGGTATTGATGTGATGAGAGTACATCCCCTTGTTTTAAGAGCGGTATCAGAAAGGCACTGGTGCATTATTTTGTCTTAAAGAAGAATCAGGCACCCTTGAAGAGCAAGCTTCTCGTGGTGGGTGCTGGGAAACGCTAATGGCTCATCATCCCCCGTGTGGACCCGGGGGCATGTTGGTCCACAGCATCCCATTGCTGGTCGTAAGACCGAATTGGGCAACCTGTTTGCCGTTGGTTGCGCCCCTGTGTCGGTGGAGGACGGGAGTCTGGTGGTTGAGGGCACTGGAAGCCTGAAACCGTGTTCCTTTTGCCCAACACACCACTTCGCCCCTGACTTTACCTAGACTGGTGGTAGAATTGGCCCGATTCTATCAATCAGCTGGTCACTCCGTGCCCTGAGCATGGATAATAATATACTGAAAGCCATTAAAAACGCAGCTGGTCCTGGAACATACAAACGTTCATTGAAGATTTTTTCCTGCGATACAGAGGATGTAGGGATGAAAGACTGTTATTCCGGCCCATTTCGAGTTCGAGTGCCCGAGCATTCCTCTCATATGAACTTTGATGCTTAAAACTGAACCTTTGACATTTTTCGTAAACACAAACAAATTCATGAAACACGTTATCCACGTGCAGTACCTGCACCCAGGTCCTTAAAAGCACAAGGAATAGTGAAACTCAGTCACGTTTTGGTATGGTCAGCCAATGTGCTACTGATGTGATGATTGCCAGGCATTTTAATGTGCATCCACCCACTGTTGGTCGACACTGACCGGAAGCGTTGGTGATCGTCCGCGACCTGGTGCACCACCTGTGACAACAGCTCGACAGGACCGCAATACCCGAGTTTCACACTTGCGAAGTCGGTTCCAAACAGCTGCTAATACGGCAAGGAGGACAGTTGGTACAAGAGAACGTCATGATGACAAGATGACATTAGAATAGCAAACTTCATGTCACAGCCTTAGTGGAATGCTCTAAACGGGAATATTTCAATAGTGTTTTGGAAAATGTATCTGGACAGAAAGCAGTGATCAAAGTAACAAACAAACTACTTTACAAGCAAACGACTTAATCCCTTCCATCACACTCATCTCTAGCAGATCTGTGTGCCCAATTCTCAAACTTAATCAAGAATAAGATTCTGAAAATCCGAACATCTCTCAGCTCACTCACATTTCAGGACAACTATACATCTCATGATAAAGAGAAAATGTTATTTGAAGTGTTTCGACCAGCAAGCGAGACAGAGGGGTTAAAGATCATCAAACAGAGCCCTGAAACTTCTTGCAGTCTTGATCCCATGTCCACCTGGATTTTCAAGAAGTGCGTCAACATTAGTGTCCCTGTAGTGACTCACATAGTTAACGCATCGCTCCTTGAGGGGTGTGTTCCTGTGTCAATCAAAGAAGCCATCATTACACCTCTTCTTAAGAAACCAGACCTTGAGCAGGAAACGTTATCAAACTATCGTCCAGTCTCTAATTTGTTTTTTATGTCCAAAGTCCTTGAACGTGTGGTAGCTGCAAGACTGAAAGCACACCTCACCACTCACAGCCATCTTGAACCACTACAGTCAGCACACCGTGAATATCACAGTACTGAAACCGCCCTTCTCAAAGTGACATCCTGGAAGCAGTGGGTTCGACCGGAGCAGCTGTTCTCGTTCTTTTAGACCTGTCAGATGCATTTGACACCAAAGATCATCGCATGTTGCTTGACATCTTCCAAACATTCCTCTGACCCTCAGATTACTGTATGGTGTGCCGCATGGCTCAGTGTTGGGGCCCATACTGTTCACCATCTACACTTCACCACTGACTCATCAGATTTGCTGTATGGTGTGCCACAGCGTTCAGTGTTGGGCCCATACTGTTCACCATCTACACTTCACCACTGACTCATCAGATTTGCTGTATGGTGTGCCACAGGCTCAGTGTTGGGCCCATATTGTTCACCATCTACACTTCACCACTGACTCATCAGATTTGCTGTATGGTGTGCCGCAAGGCTCAGTGTTGGGGCCCATATTGTTCACCATCTACACTTCACCACTGACTCATCAGATTTGCTGTATGGTGTGCCGCAAGGCTCAGTGTTGGGGCCCATACTGTTCACCATCTACACTTCACCACTGACTCATCAGATTTGCTGTATGGTGTGCCGCAAGGCTCAGTGTTGGGGCCCATACTGTTCACCATCTACACTTCACCACTGACTCATCAGATTTGCTTCACCATATGGTGTGCCGCAAGCTCAAGTGTTGGGCCCATCACCATCTACACTTCACCACTGTGATTTGCTGTATGGTGCCGCAAGGCTCAGTGTTGGGGCCCATACTGTTCACCATCTACACTTCACCACTGACTCATCAGATTTGCTGTATGATGTGCCGCAAGGCTCAGTGTTGGGGCCCATACTGTTCACCATCTACACTTCACCACTGACTCATCAGATTTGCTGTATGGTGTGCCGCAAGGCTCAGTGTTGGGGCCCATACTGTTCACCATCTACACTTCACCACTGACTCATCAGATTTGCTGTATGGTGTGCCGCAAGGCTCAGTGTTGGGGCCCATACTGTTCACCATCTACACTTCACCACTGACTCATCAGATTTGCTGTATGGTGTGCCGCAAGGCTCAGTGTTGGGGCCCATACTGTTCACCATCTACACTTCACCACTGACTCATCAGATTTGCTGTATGGTGTGCCGCAAGGCTCAGTGTTGGGGCCCATACTGTTCACCATCTACACTTCACCACTGACTCATCAGATTTGCTGTATGGTGTGCCGCAACGCTCAGTGTTGGGACCCATAGTGTTCACCATCTACACTTCACCACTGACTCATCAGATTTGCTGTATGGTGTGCCGCAAGGCTCAGTGTTGGGGCCCATACTGTTCACCATCTACACTTCACCACTGACTCATCAGATTTGCTGTATGGTGTGCCGCAAGGCTCAGTGTTGGGGCCCATACTGTTCACCATCTACACTTCACCACTGACTCATCAGATTTGCTGTATGGTGTGCCGCAAGTCTCAGTGTTGGGGCCCATATTGTTCACCATCTACACTTCACCACTGACTCATCAGATTTGCTGTATGGTGTGCCGCAAGGCTCAGTGTTGGGGCCCATACTGTTCACCATCTACACTTCACCACTGACTCATCAGATTTGCTGTATGGTGTGCCGCAAGGCTCAGTGTTGGGGCCCATACTGTTCACCATCTACACTTCACCACTGACTCATCAGATTTGCTGTATGGTGTGCCGCAAGTCTCAGTGTTGGGACCCATATTGTTCACCATCTACACTTCACCACTGACTCATCAGATTTGCTGTATGGTGTGCCGCAAGGCTCAGTGTTGGGGCCCATACTGTTCACCATCTACACTTCACCACTGACTCATCAGATTTGCTGTATGGTGTGCCGCAAGGCTCAGTGTTGGGGCCCATACTGTTCACCATCTACACTTCACCACTGACTCATCAGATTTGCTGTATGGTGTGCCGCAAGGCTCAGTGTTGGGACCCATACTGTTCACCATCTACACTTCACCACTGGCTCATTAGATTTGCTGTATGGTGTGCCACAGCGCTCAGTGTTGGGACCCATAGTGTTCACCATCTACACTTCACCACTGACGCATCACATTTGCTGTATGGTGTGCCGCAAGGGTCAGTGT